ATCCTCCGGGGCTCTGTGTCTCAGTGTCGATTGTCGTCTCATTTAGTGGCTCATTTCGAGCAGCCAGGGGGGGGTTGTCGGCCACAAATTACAGTAATTAACAGGCTCATATTTAAGGTGTTTATCAGATGCCAGCACCGGGGTCCACCCCGGGTCCACTGCTCGTAATTACAGCTACTCGTCGCTGGCCTCGCCTCTGATGACGGGCTTTTGGCAGGCATACACATACGGAGTCGTATCAATTGATTTCCCCATTCGATGTCGGTTAAGCGGCGCTTTAATTAAACGGAATCGCTTACCAGCGCCGTTCATTATGAACAGGAATCGGAATCGGAATTCAACTGCGAAATTTGCATGCACAGAGCGACTGAGACTGACTGACTGACTGACTGACTGACTGCTCATCCATCAGACAAATGAAAACATTAACTCTAGGATAGAAGAACAGCGAACTAAGTGGCCAGTGACACCTTTCTGAAGAAGATATTAACTTGGTAATTGTTAATTGAAAGTAGTCCAAGCAGTCAGTACCTCTGGAGGCTGGCCAACAGGCTCTGCCCAGTAGCAATTTGTGCTCCTGCTGCTGCTGCTGCTGTGCTCCCATCAAAGATGATTGCATGGCCTCGGGGCACAGCTCGATGGTTCTGCAAGCAGCACTTGCAAATGAGCTCTGAGCATTTTGAGACATTAAAGGGCACTTAGCATAATGATTTACAACTTTAATTCACGCAATTAAATTGGAATTTCAGGCATACACACGACACTCCCGGGTAGTGGAGCCAAAGGGAAAGCCTTCTGCCAGTTCAATGGAGCTGAAAACGCATTCACATCATCAATGGCAACGACACCCAACAATCATGCCCGGAGGCAGTCACTCGGACAATGTTATTGACACCCCAACCCAGAGAGAGGCGCGGGGCCAGGTTTCGATTTCAGCGTGTCCATCCCGGACACGTTCACACCCAGGATTATGGCCAGGCGAACGCATCCCTTTGTTGTCTCCTTGCTTGCTTGATTGGCACTTTTGTTGAGTGCTGGGGTGCTGGGGTGCTGGAGCTCAATCAACTGGAATGTCCAATGTGGGTGCACACCTCTGCCAGGTGTCATAACTCGCTGGCCCTTGCTTGTGGGTGATCTTTAGTGGCTTTTCATTAGGCAAGCCAACGACTGACACCATAAATCAGCAGAAGATCACAAGCTGCGGGTCTGCCCCGCTGGTACTCCAAATCGTATCGAAACGAATCGATCCGGTCTGCCTGTTCAGCGGAAATTGATCAATTACGGTGAGCACTTTGCGGACCAGTTTTTCCCGTCTGCAACGAATATAATTTGCATAAATACGAAACAAAGTTCAGATGCAAGCGTACCAAAAATGCCCCAAAAAAAAACAAAGTGTGACTCAAGTTAGGTTTGGGGCTTGGATTTGGATTTGCATCTCCGTTTGCCAGTCCGGGCTGATGGATGAAAAATGGGCGAAACGCCTTTAGTGTCAGTTTTATGTTATCATTTGATTTATAATAATGCTAATAGACGTCGATATATTAATTGATTGTGGCGCGCTGCAAGCTTTTATTTTTCCTTTTAATTTTGGATTTCTACAAATGAATTTTCGTGACTGAATTTGCATTTGCAGCAGCCACCGGGCAGCACTTTCTATGGAGAGAAAAGGGTCAAAGACCAACCCAAATGTAGCTGTTGAAAGTGCATAAAATGGCGACTGAAACCTTTCCCCCATGGATATTGTAGCTGTCGAATCAAAATACCAACACCTAGCAGCCGCTCTCCTACTGTCCCTTGCCCGCAAAGTGATTCATGGGCAGTGCAAAGTAATGCGAAGCAAGAACTCAACACAAGAGCACTGCTGGAAGGATGTGTAGAAGCTGAAGTAGAAGTAGATGAGCAGCTCCATTAAGGTAGCACATAAATAAGTTCACTCTGTGGCCAGAGTCATTTAATTTCCGACTAATAATGACAACCATATAAAGTTATTGGTAGCACACGGATGCCACAGATGGGGGCAGAGCGGCCGAGTGTGTCCCGACATTGTTTGTCGCGTGATAACTTCATTGCCATCCGCAAATACGCGGAATATGTGCCCAGCGGGTTGTCCTGGCCGATCGGCGTGTCCTGTGCTCAGAGTGGCGGCCTACACCAGAGAGCGACACTGTCAGCATATATCAAAACCTAAGCCTGATTAACTATCGAGCATTGGTCTGTGGATTGGATGTGTGCCAAAACACTTGGTCTCTTCCATATCCTAAAATGGAATTCCTTAGAAACCTGTAGCTTTGGGGGCTTCAACTGGAAGTGGAACTGCGACTGAGGCTCTGCCGTAGGAGATGCCCCGAATGCGATAGCGAAAATTTATGACTTCATTAAGGTAACAAGCCAATATGTTTTCCGAACTCCGAACTGGGTTGGCTTGGCTTGGCTTGGCTTGGCTTGGCTTGGCTTCGCTTGGGTTGGGTTATTGGAAACGTTTAAGGAGTTTTATGTGCTCGTTGTTCTTGTTCTTGTTCTTGTAGTCGTTGACCCATTTCAAATGGATTACCTCAACATGCATAAATAGTTTAAACGCCTCACCAGTCGCAGAGGTTCTGCTCATCTTTGGCTGGCTACACTCGTGGAGCTGGTTGCTGTGGCAAAAAGATTTATGGACTTGTCGCTGCCCCACACACACACACACACACACAAAAAAGAACTGAAACGAAACCAAATGAGCTGGAATGACCATGCCAGGCTGGAACCCTTTTTTATGATTTGCTCTGCCGTTAAATGAACTTGTAGCCGATCGCATTTTAACTGCTGCAACACACGGGGCAGGCCAGGCAGCGGGCAGTGTGGGGGAAAAGTGTTAACTTGTTGCTTCCAAATCAAATTACAATTGCAGGAGAATTGCAAGCGGTGGCAATTGTCAGGGCTAGGACGGTACTCTCAGGTGGTTCTAGCTGAAATTAAACCTATGGAAATATTTTTGGCCATATAAATTCTTGCTCGCAGCTCTGTAAATCATTTGGAGTCTGGCCCGCGGCTCCTACAGGAGTCTCGAAACGTACTTTGGCCCATGGGTTGATGTTATTTTGGTAAAACCACTTAAAACTGTCAACTTAGCATTGATTAACGAGCTTATATCATGTTTATTTTGCGATCTTTGTTGCGGCAAACACACACAGAGACAGATAGAGACAGAGACACATTCTGGGCCGCTTTCTTTGGACGCTTTTGGTTGCTCACACAATCTGGCCAGTGGCCTGCCTCCCAGTACAACTGACAAGCAAGTCTTTTATGATTGTGCCTTAACGTTGGAGCACGGAGGCCAGCAACCGCCACCGCTACTGCGCTGCTAGCAAAGTCCATTAAAGCCCGCTAAGCCTTGGGTGCACGTTATGTTTTTTAATAGTTCGCCGCGCATTTAGTGGCTTAATGATTTTAAGCCTGTTTTTCCTTTTGAGAGGGGGAGGCTTCAGTGAACGTCAACTGGATAACATTTTGTGATGTGCGTTAATTCGGCGGCAAAATTACCAGAAAACCAAAAACAAAGTTTGAATTTGCTGACTTGCGCGCACAGCACAGCGCCCTCTGTTGCATTTTGGTGGAGAATTCAGCGCCAGAGCCTATCGATATCAGTTAATCGTTGTAATTTCGTTCGAACCAGCAATACATCAACAATATATTAAATGGAAGGAAATGCAAAAAGAGTTTTTAATTGCAACAACCGCAAGAAAGAACTGAATCAACAAATTTCCATTTCGCACATAAGTATCGATACAGTTATGTTAGCCATTGTGTATATCGATAGCTAGAAAACCACGAAGCAAAAGCAAAACAACTCACTTAAAAATTAAATTAAACAAATAATGGCTGTGCTACCACCAGATCCTGTCTTCAGCCTACGTTCCCCGGACATGGGCGCCGTGAATTCGGTGTGCTTCCAGGAGAACGAGCGTCTGCTGGCGGGCACACTCAAGGGCAGTGTTTTCCTTTGGGATCTACAGGTAGATTGTTGCTTCAAAACAAAAACAAAAAGCTCCTAAATCAACAGAAAACACGTTTCTCCGACAGACAAATCGCTCGGCGCTGCACTTTGAGGTGGGCAGCGATCCCATTACCAGCCTGCATCACACCTCCGATCGCCTGGTGACGCAGGAGAAGGGCGGCACCGTCACCATGTTCTCCATTGGCAACAGCAGCTACGTGAAGGAGCACAGCATTGTAGGCAACCACCTGGGCTTCTGCCGCTCTGCGCTCTACATGAACACCAGCAACACCAACGAGCAGCTGCTGTTCTATCCCTGCGAGGAGTCGTCCATTGGCGTGCTGCACGTGACAGATTCGACTGCCCCGACCCAAATGCTGGTGCCGGACGATCCGCAGCTGCCCAAGCTGGGTGCCGTCACCTGCTTCAAGCCGTTCGACTGCGCCTCCTCCCTGTTCCTGCTGGCCGGCTACGAGTCCGGCCACTTTCTCACGTGGGACATCAGCTCGGGCGTGATGGTGGATGTCGTGGAGCTGGCCACAGATGCCCTGACCGTGGACTATGACCCCATTACGAATCGGGGCATCGTTGGCGGTGCCAGTAAGTGTGTGTCGGCGTTTCACTGGCGCCCTTAAATCTTGTTCTCTTGCAGCGGACAAGCTGACGACGTTTAGCTACCAGCGGCCATCGATGCAGCTGCAACGCGGCTCGGAGCTGTGCATCAAGAATCCGGGCGTCAACTGTGTACGCATACGCGCCGACCAGAAGGTCTTTGCCAGCGCTGGCTGGGACGGTCGCATACGCATATTCTCGTGGAAGAGTCTGCGACCGCTGGCCGTGCTCACGCAGCACAAGCAGGGCGGCGTCATGGATCTGGCCTACTCCCGCCAGCCGGTGGCCATGTGGCATGCGCCCATTATGGCGGGTGCGGGCATGGATGGCCAGATATCGCTGTGGGATTTATACAATTGAGAGAGCACAGGGCCTACTATCGTTAGAAGTTCAAATTATACAAAATTGCAAATTAATCATTTAAATTGTTATTTATTTAAATTCTTCGAGCACTTTGTGCTCCGCCATTCGCGCTCTCTCTCTCTCTCTCTCTCTCTTACACATACACACGTCATTCAGGGATAAATTATACATGGTAATAAGTATTTTTGATAAGTTCTACTATTAATTCTACTAAAATTTACTTTTTAGCTTTTGCATTGCCGCTTCCCTGGCTATTGCTGTTGTTTATATTATTGCACTCTACGTCCTCGTCCTGTTGCTGATTCTGGCCGTCGCTCGGCTCCAGCTCTCGCAGCGCCATCTTCTGGAAATCGCAGTCAATTATGCGTTTACGCTTGCGCAGCGGTCGACTGCATTCGGAGGCAGCGCTGCTGCTGCTGCTGCTACTGCCCGCAGGTGTCGCTGCAGCTGGAACGGAAGCGTTTGGCTCTTCTTTGGTTTGGTTAAGCGTCCGTTTGCTTTGCAGTCGTGTAATTTTCAACTTGGGCAGTTTCTGGCTGTCCTGATTGCTCTCCGATTGCGTTTCGTCGCGCACAATGCAGTGTGTCTCCTGCGAGGAGTTGGCATCTGTGGCCGGCGACGAGGACGCAGGCGACGACGGCGAAGCGGAGTCTGGAGAAGCGCGGCCGGCAGAGTTTGTCTTTGGTATGGATTTCTTACCCTCATCATCATTGTCATCATCGTCCACCTGAACATCTTCATCTTTCTCCTTCTCCTTCTCCTTATCATCCTCCTCCTCGTCGTCCAGCTGCTCCTCCTTGAGCATCGTCGCTTTCTGCTCCTCTTGTGGCGCTGGATCCAGCTGCTGCTCCTGCTCCTGCTCCTGCTCACTCCTTGACTTGCTGCAGTCCAGTGGCTGTGGCAGCTCCTCCTTGCTCCGCCGACTCGTCGTGGCCCGCTCCTCGTCGAAGCGCTTCCGCTGCTCGGGCGTCAGGTGCGCCTTGTAAAAGTCCATGACGGGCAGCGGCACGGGAATGGGTATGGGCAGCGGTATGATTATTGGATACGGCACCATCACGGTCACGGGCGGCACCGCACCCAGCATTGCCCCGAAAGCACCCAGATGCTCGGGCACCTGTGCCTGTGGCATGGGCAGGCCAAAGGGCGGTGGATAGCCTCGCGGCATCATGCCATGCGGCGGCGGCATAAAGTGATGAGGCGGCGGCGCGGGATGCCTGCCAAATGGCAGACCCATCGGATGCCCATTGGGCGGTGTGGCAAAGTAGCTCGAAGGTATGGCAGTTGGGCCCCTGCCCAGCACCTGTTGTGGCACCACGGGCGGTGGCTGCTGCTGCTGCTGCTGCTGCTGTGGGTGGTGGGGTTCCGGCATGGGCGACAAAGGAGGCAACGGCACGCTGGAGCCGGAAAAGTCTGCGCTGAGCGTCGGTGGCTGCTGCTGTTGCTTTTGGAGCATGCTGGCCACTGTTTCCGAGCCGGAGGAGGTTGAGCCTGGACCACGAAGCGGACGCTTGCGACGGCCATGCTTGAGTCCCGAGTCCCGACCTGAAGCCAAGGAGCTGTTGTTGCTGTGTTGGTGCCGCTGCAGCGGTGGTGGCGGCGGTGGCGGTGCAGCTGCCGCTGGAGCGGGACTCTTCTGGGCCAGCAGCTTGGACACAGGCGCCACTGAGATCAAAGGTTTGCTCGGATTACTGGGCGGCGTGACGCTGGGCGAGCTGCGCTTTGCGTGGGGTGTGGCCGCCGTCCGCTCTGGCGCTGCTGCTGGTCCCGGCGACACCGAGACCGTGGACGCGGGCGAGGCCGAGCGACTGCGGCAGTTGCGCAGCCAGAGATCCGGCGTTATGAGACCCGCCTCGCTGCCCGCCTCCAGGCCCTGGTCCCGCAGATGCGGATTCATGTCCAGATGCGCCTGCGTCTCGTTGCAGAAGATTTGCATCTTGTACTGGTTGAGGCACTTCTCCGAGCAGAACTGCAGCTGCGAGGCGCCATCCTGGAAGTCCACATAGCTGACGGCATGCCGCACATGCTTGCACCAGTCGCAGGTCTTGGCCTTCTTGAAGCACGCCCTCCGGCTCTGCGTGAAGCAGGACTCCGAGCAGTAGCGCGGCCCATCGCTGCTCGTCAGATAGTCGGGCGCATTCTCGGCAATCGGTCGATGGCACCAGCAGCAGTTGTTGAAGTCTGCAATGAACGAGAAATTCGAACATTAGCCAAGGGCAGAGAGAGAGAGAGAGGTACGGAATCCTGAGAGCTACACTCGCTAACAATGTTTAGCCTGCAATATCCAATGCACAAATGTGAGCCCCTGCTGGAGGTTACCATCCTGGCCCTGTCTTTTCTTTCCCACAAATTTTGTAAACCATATTTGGAGCTTAATGAATCGGTTATTCGATAATGCAGGCAGCTCCAGCGCACAGAGTTTGTTTTGGGAAGTTCTCAAAAGTTTTTCCCAGCTGCCGACTTATCAAGTTCGCAACCAAAAACAAGCGAGAGCTCCGGCAATCTGCCCCTGCCAGCCGTAAGTGTTAATACCCTCTGAGCGAGCTGCCGAGCAGAGAAAACTACACAAAAGTTTCCATCAGGCATTGAAAGTGAATGTGGACATGCATTCCCTTTCCTGCGTGTTTTTTTCTGGGCCCAGACTGCAGCTCGTTTTTGGGCTGCTGTGCGCTCGAATTACTTGATGCTGCTCCAAGCCAGACAGGAGCTGCACTCACCTATTTTCTCCTCTGTGGGCGGCACAACCAGCCCCGCTGTCGTGACCGGCTTGCCGATTGAGTTGGGACTCTTGGAGTCATCCTCCCGCGAGCTGCGCGTATCATGATCCGAGGGCGTCGCCGCTGTCGTTCGATTACAATTTTGCATTCCTCCGACCTTACGACCAACGGCATTCCCATTGCTATTGCTGCTGCTGTTGTTGTTGTTGTTGTTGTTGCTATGATAAGCGGCGGCCAGTGAGGTGCGACTGCTGCGCAGTAAACCAGTGCGACGCCGCTCCAGCAACTGTTGCTGCTGCTGCTGCTGTTGCTGGTCCAGCTGATGCTGTTGACTGGCCGCAGCCGCAGCGGCGGCACTCTGCAGCAGACGCGATGTCTTGGCGGTTAGATCCAGGCGATCCACATCGACGCCATCGAAGCCATACCAGCCGAGCAGCTCATTCATGGTGCTGTGCGCGAATTCCTGGAACGAAGCAAGACACAATGAAGGGAGTGCACTTTTTTGCATGTAAATTAATGACACAGTTTCGTGTCCCTGCCCATAAGCAGCTGTAACTGCAGCAAGCCAACGCCGCAAAACATATTCTGTGGTGGCAGGCAGGTGGCTTTGAGCACTCGATAAAAGAGAAAGGACTGCACATGCTTCATGTTCATTATTTAATTGTTTAAGCATTTGCTTAAATCCTGGCCGCCTAACGCGTTGACCCTTCAACTTTAAGCGTCCAATTAATGGCGTTCAGCAGAGAGCAGCATGTGGGGGGTTGGCTCAGCATTGCAATCGATAGTCTTTGCGTATCAGAGGAAAACAAGCACACACACGCACACTCCCACACCCACATCCACTTGCGCTTCCATAAGGATATCAGTGGCCAGTGCGAGAAAGGCAAAAATTCATTACGGCCGACGGGACGGGTTGTAGGTTGGAATTTGCATCTCTCCCTCTTGCAGCAGGGATGGGGGGGAAGACATGGATACCCCAAACTGTGTGTGTGTGTGTTTATGCTCTGTGTCCGAGTCTCTGCTGTGAAATTAAAGCGAATAAATGTCTCGATTCTGTCTTTGAAGTTGCTCCTTTTTGGGCATAAGCAGATGAAGATATGCATGTGTGTGTGTGTGTGTGTGTGTGTGTCTTGTGAACATTTCACACAAAGCTGCTGCCACACAAAACTCTGGCCACGTCTCGGATTACAATTGAAATTCTCGCATTTAGTGGCTTAGACATTTGCAGTCTTCGGGCCAGACGAGCTTTAAATTTCCGAAAATCTTTATCATTTTGTTGCTCGGCTTCTCAGGAATGTCACATTGCTCATACGCCATGTGGACATCGTGACAGTTGGCTCAGCACGTTAATATTCCAGGGAAAATGGCCACAAATTGGAGAAGTCTGTAAGATGATGCCCCAAAGTGCAGCCAAGACGAATCATCCATTCCATTACCAACCCACGAGCCAATAGACCAGCCAGTCAGGACACCCGATACGGTGTGCAAATTAAGCGGTGCTGCCAACTTGCTGACAAATGCAAGTCGTCTAATAACAACCTTATCCCACCCCTCTCTCGCTCACTATCGCACACTCAATCGCACCGCACACCGCGCACCGCGCACCGCGCACCGCACACCCCGCATCATGCAGCACGCAGCTCGAGTGTCAGTGACAGAGAGGCACCAATTCAGGTTTTGTGCGTTGCCGTGAAAAGAGTATTAACAATTCGCACGATAAAAATCTCTGGCATGAAGAGCGAACCGCGACTGCCTGCCCGTATCGATTACACGCCTCAGGTGCGACCTCGTCCACTGGGTAGGGGAACTGGCGGGCAGATCCGTGGCCAGAGAGAGAGAGCAGCGGGAACGACGCACGCTTGTCTCAAGTTCAGTTTTGTATTTTTTTGTATTTTGCATTTTGCAGTACCAACTGTGCCGTAATCGGAGGAGCGCACCTTTCCTCTCTCTCTCTCTCTCTCTCTCTCTCTCTCTCTCTCTTGCTCTATCTTCTTTCTGCTCATTATTATCCCATGCGCCATCTCCGACTCTAACTCCATCGCTCTCCACTCACTCTCTCGCGCGGCTCTGTCCCTCGGTTTTTAGTATCATTTGTCTGTTAATTTATGTTCGGTTTTTAATTTCTGATTTGTGCGTTCGTTCGTTTGGTTTTCCTGCGCCAGCTGCCTTGACAGTTGCTCAACGGACAGACAGCCAAAGCTGGGAACTTCAGGCTTCAGCTTCAGTCCGTATGAAATTCTATACCAAAATGCGAATAAAAATCAATTAATTAAAAGTTGAAATTGAATGCCGTCTGTTGTTGTTGCTGTTGTTGTTGCCCCTGCTGAAGTTTGTATCTGATTCTGCCTCTGCTCTCTGTGGGTATAACCACACAAGTCGAAATACTCGCATATATCCCACCATAATAATTCCAGTTTCAGTTCCAGTTCCAGTTCCAGTCTGTTGTGCAACAAGATCCCCTCTCGCTGGATTCGTTTTTCTCTTAATTTCACTGCTGCTCGTTTTTTCGTAATTATTTTGCTGGAATATTCGTTTCTTGTGGATACATTTGCCAATTCCAATCCTCAGCCATCAGACGTTCCGCTTCGTCTTCAGCTTTTTTTTTTCGTTCTTTGCTAAAATCTCAACTTACAAAAACATATCAGATTTTCATTTTTATTATGAATCGCAATGAACCAACCCAAACCAAAACCAAAGCCAACGAGAACTGAGGAACTGGGAAACTGCGGACCAAGTTTCTGTTTCTGTTTCTTCCACAAAAATCTCTTTGTTGTGCAGAATGTTTCTATGCGATCGGTGGATAAGCTTCTTGCATATTTCTGACCCAGTTACAGCTGGAAATTCCATCCAAAGTTAATATCCATTGGAGGCTCTTCGGTGCCATGTGAGTGGGCCACATTAATACACGTCTACGGTTACGGTTACTGCCAAGGAAACCCAATAGAATAATGTAAAGTACACGACGACGAGGCTGGCAGTGGCTAACAACGACAACTGCAAGAGCGGGAGAGAGAGAGAGAGAGAGAGAGAGAACGGAGCACACACACAGTGGGGGGCTATGGGCGCGGGAGAGGCAACCCAATACGCTTATAATAACTCACCCTGAACCCAGTAAACTGAGCTGAGCTGAGACGAGTGCTGTGTGGACCCAGGCCGGAGGAGCTACAACTAAAACCAAAACTGCAACAGAGCAACCAGAGACGGTGTCCGAGCCCAGACCACCCCAAAAAAAAAAAAAAAAAAAAAGTACGAGTACATAGAGTATGTATATATGTACGAGACTGTGCATAGTATATAGGGAAAAATGACACCCCAGTGGCAAGAAATTCTAGAATTACTATACGCTAGTTTTTCCACAGTCGAGCTGTAATCGAATATCGATAGCGAAGGATTGAATGTCGCTTCGCGCGCGCGTCCTTCTTTCCAATTCTTACATGACATACTTGGCCTTTGGCTGCTGCTGCTGCTGCTGCTGCTGCTGCTCTTGTAATTTGATATTTTATTTTATTTTAATGTACATTCTATATGCCACTCGATATAGCACCAAGAAATCATCTATCTATGCTCAGTCGAAGTCCCATTCAGCGCTGCTTTATTCACTGCCAATGGAGGTTATACTGCCGCAGGTGTAGAGGCAGTTCTGCCTCCCCGCTGCTCCTGCTGCTGCTGCTGCTGCTGCTGCATAGAGTCGTATTCCCTTGCGTCGTCCTTTGTTTGCCCATCAGTGGCTCGAATTAATTTAACGCTATATTAATTTGAGCCATCAGGGAGAGACTGCTGCAAGTCGCATGCCATCGCTCGCCTGTCATCCAGCAGCCAGCCTGCCAGCAACTGGCAGCCAGAGCCATGTCATGTGCTGCGCTGCTCCAGCGGGTGCCTCATGTTACGTCCGGAAGGGGGGAACCAACTACATATCGTCGCTCTCCACTCTCTCCACTCGCTCTTCCACAGGCTTTGAGCTCTGGTTCGCCCCTGGTGTTTTGTGTAGAATTTATCATATTCTATTTTGTTTGTAATTCAATCTTCGGCGTTGTTATTAAAGTTCTGCTGCTGCTGCTGCTGCTGCTGCTGCGGCGTCATTCGAGCTGCTCCTTAGCACCCAAACCCCACGGCAGGCTCTGAGTGGCCCACGTTGTCATTGTGCCGACCCGCTCCAACGTGTGGGTAACCCAATCCTGCACGCCCTGCGCCCTGGGCATGGGATATGCGACGAGGCCGGCAGCACTTAACTGTGGGTTGTGTAGGTGTAGGTGTAGCTGGTAGGTGTAGCTGGTAGGTGTTCAATCGACTGCTGCCACTGTGGCTGCTTTTAATTCGAGTTGAAATTAAAGTCTTCAAATCCGAAGAGCTACTCCAAGCTACTCTCTAATATTCTGTAATTATTTTTCTATTTTTAGTTATTCTTTGCCATGCATAAACAACTCCCATTGTTGTTGCCTGAAGCTCCTTCCACACATCCTTTTGTTTCATTACGTTCAGCCTGAGGCGGAACCCTTGAAGCGTATCGCATGACATAAACCTCTCGAATTGCACCCATGAGCCGCACTCCTGTTCCTCCATTGATTAATTGTGTGTCGTGTGTGTGTTTCGGCCTTATACCTGTAGACGCCACAATATTTCGGCTGCAAATGCAGATTGTAATTACTGAGACTGAAACTGAAACTGAAACTGTCTCTGCACGGTAAACCGTATCAAAACTTTAATAATTTTAATTGAGACGAGTATCTTTATGTGCTCGAAGGGATTGCCTACCTCGCTGACAGACAGATATGAGTTTCAATCGAACAATAAGATTAAGAAACTTTCTTCCTAGCTGAACTGAATGCATTTATAGCTCCGATTTTCACCCATTTCAAACTATTCCAGAACTACATCCACAACTCCATAGACAAGTTCTACGTACACAAATCGTTTCCATGCAGTAAGTAACGGCTGTGATAGACTTTTAAGCGCTGAATCCACCCACCCGACTGTCAGCCTGCACAGCTCAGCGCCTACTGGGGGCTTCGTCGCTTCTCAAGCAGCTCATTCATTATACACAAATTTGTGTTGTGTTGTGTGTTGAGTTGTTTTCTTTATGCTTTATTATAATAAGTATCATTTGGCGCAACTGCAGGCCGACGGCTATAATTTCGATTCAGCGATCACATTTCACGTGCTGCAAAAATGTTGCTGTGGGAGATTTTGTGTTGCTGTTGCTGTTGTCATTGCCGTCTCCCTTCCCTTCATCCACTCACTCTTCTCGTCTGTGGCATTAAATTAATTTTGCTCATTTGGCGGATAAGCACCAGCAACAGGGGAGAAGCAGCAGCAGCAGCAGCAGCAGCAGCAGCAGCAGCAGCAGCAGCAGCAGCAGCAGCAGCAGCAGCAGCAGCAGCAGCAGCAGCAGCAGCAGCAGCAGCAGCAGCAGCAGCAGCAGCAGCAGCAGCAGCAGTTGTGGTGCGGAGGGCGGGCGGGTGGCAGTGTGCCTTTCTGCGTAAAATTTGCAACCCACTCGGACTCGTACTTGGAATCGGAATCGGATTCGGAATTATATTCAGCAAAAACTCCCCGTAGCTCAGTCACTCACTCAGTGGAGCACTCACTGGCGCGCTCACTCGTTAAAATGATTATAAAAATTCATCAATATAGGGTTTCCGACCACTCGCACTCGGTTTACATCCATGAGCGAACATTGTTGGCGAAATCTCGTAATCGCTGCTACTTCGAATGCGAACTCCTGTTACAAATGACGGACCAGGGCCCGCTGCTACCAACACTACTGGCCTGGACGTTGCCCTGAAATTTCTGTTGCACTTTTCTAAATGTTCACCAAACAACCACAACACACAGCTTAACCATCAACATTCTCATCAGGCTCTTCCACAGAATAATTGGAATTAAGCATTTCAAATGGAAAACTGAGACGATTTGGATCTTCTTTCTGTTGTTTTTTGGTTGCTTGTGGCCCAGACTAATGATGTGATGTACGAAAATTAAAATTCAAGTGCATGGGAAATATATGAAGAATGTTTTCTTCAAGTCTTTAATACATGTATTCCATAATAAATGGAGTTTATTCGCTCTGCGTGTGGGTGTTATTCACCTTTGCCATCGACGAGCACAAAAAATTCGAAAGCAAATACCCAAAAATCAAACATTTCGACGAAGGAAAAATATATTTATTTTTAAAACCAATGCACACTTTTCCCAGCGTACTTTGTTGTCATATTTTTATTTATTGAATGCCACATATTCGCGTTTAGTGTGCGGACAGGGGTAATTAATTATATTATGATGAATACATGTGACTCGTGGTGCTCACCTTTATCTCATCGCTGGGCAGTTCCTTTTTGATTTGCACGGGTCCGGCCACGCTGGCATCCCGGGAGCTAGATGGGGATGTTTTGGCGGACATTTCTTCGTGGCTGGAACACAAGACAGAAGACGACAAAGGGGTCAAAGGTGGATTGCAAGCAAGCTGCAGCACGTAGAGATATTTTTAGCTGGCCAATTCATTGATCTTGCCACTGTGAACAACTGAACTTTCGAGTACATCAATCAGTGGATCTGTGTGGGGTACACTCCACCCATTCAACATAATTAATTACAGATACAAATACTTGTAGATACTCTTCTTGGTCTTTTGATGCTGTTCTTTATTGGGCTCTCTGCTTTGCATATTGTTTCGCATCCATTGGATACGCATGCAAGAGGAAGAATCACACGGCGATATATTTATACACCGCGCCGAGTATCTTTGTATCTCCTCAGCCACACGATACATATATGAATGTATCTGTGTGTGCGTTGCCTTTGTGTTTGTGTGCGAGCGAGTTCGCTTGGCGCGCACTTTGGTGTCTTGTAATTTAATACCTCAAACGAAACGTTACCACCTATCCTATCGCATAACACACACACACACAACAGACTACAAAAATTCAACTTTGTATTCAAAACGAAAAACAACAAATCAACAATGTATCTGTAGCTGTAGCCTGTATCTGTGTGGTAGAGTTCTGAGGAAATCAGACGGAAAAAGACAAAAATGTTTGCAAACTAAAGGGGGAAGTTGAAGTAATTGGAATCCGTCCTGCATGGTAATTCTGTTTGTATGCGAGTGTGCACAGACTTTAGCGGATATCTTTCCCATATATTTAGCCGAAAATGGACTCCGTTTTGTGGCACAAATATATCAAATCCCACCCACAAGGGCAGAGAATTATCCCACAAATTATATCGAATATCCAGTTGGGATTTCCATGTTACATTGTTCTTCTTTCTTAATTCCATAATTATGTACATATTTCTGGCCGATCTTCATCATTCCTGATTGCCTTGCCCCATTGAAAAACATTTCACATTGCGATCGCGATTCGCCTTGTGCTGCTTCTTGCTTCCATTTTCGCTTTGTTTTTCTTTTGAGAACTTTTTGGCGAAAACATTTCAATGTCCAACTCAAACTGAAAACGAAATGCAACTCAATGTCCACAATGGTATGGTGAGTGAGGCATTATCATTTTGAATAATATAATTCTTAAGGTTTTTTTCTTGAGCGGTGTAGAAATTTTCCAATGCAGCACACAAATATACGGAGAGTATATTCCAAAAATAGCCAGATATTTTCAACATTATATTTTTGGTATGCGCTCCGCTCCTCACTCACAATTGGCCTTTCCTCTGTGTCGTACTCTCGCTCTCTGCCTCTGCCTCTGCCTCCGCCTCCGATTCTCCTTCTTCTTTTCACTGTGTTTCGAGTGTGTGTTTTCCGCTTTGGATTTTCCGCCGTTACAGCGAGCAAACGAGCGAGCAAGCAAAGCGAGCGAACGTCAAGGAAGCTCATGCACCATGCTCATTTTCATTTTCGTTTTCACTTTCCACTTTCCCACACACACAAGCACACGCGGTCTAGCGATGTTTCAAATAAAACCGTTTCGTTTCCGATTCAGCAGAAAGCTTCTTAAAACTGTTTCGTATGCGCTCGCGTCCATGAACGAACCAACCAACCGACAACCTCTGCGCTTAACGAACATATGACGCCGCACTGCCATCGGCATGCGGATTTGTACTGGTCTCTGGTGCTGCCGCGAACGTTGCACAGTGGGGCCTGCACCTATTTTAGCTTTCTAAATTAATGTTAACCAATGTATCTTCATGAACTAAACTGCATTTAAAAAAAAAATCTTCCAAAATCTAGTCTTGAGGCCATTGTGCTGTATTGTCTAGAAGCTTTCCAATATATAGGCGAAGTTGAACTTTGATTACTGTGATTATTTGCATAAAATGCAAATAAAGAAAAGATAAATAAGTTTAGTTGGCTATTTCGCTACACATAATAATGTTATTTTGAGCAAATTATAAATTTGAAATAATTTTATAAAATGTTTCGACTTTTTCCACCTCTTTCCACTGTGCGCTGCTGTTGCTGCTGCTGTTGCTTCGACTGCGCTGCTGTTGTTGGGTCTGCGTTTGCGCAGCTGTGGGTCGAGTCTGTCTGCTGATGACGTATGGGGCTGTGTTCGGGCCCCCATCGCCACCCTGCCTGCTCTGTCTCTACGATGACTAAGGAGATGTTTGCCGCCTTCTCTCTTTTTGCATAATTTCTCTGCACTTTACAGTTAAAAATAAATTGCATCATTTCACCTGAGTTCGTTTTGTTCTGGCTCGGAAATGCAAGGGGTATGCTATGTCCAATTTCTGTTTTAATTTTGCACAAAATACTCGTGCTGTCCGCTGACATGGCCAGCAGAGAGATCTGAGAGATTTTTAGTGGGCAATTGATTGGTGTTGCGGGGGGCAATGCAAGTAATTCTGACAGCCAAAAAGGTCATACAAGTAGGAGGTTTGTCATTCAATGGAGGGAGAAGATTCTTAATATTATTGGGCCCTGTTACTGGGTACTACCATTAATAAGCGTATGTGTAACTATACGTGCCAATGTAACGGCTTAAAAACAGTTGGCCATGGTAATACCTAGCACTAAGCACCACTTTTGATAGTGCCAGTGCCAGTGGCAGTACCAGCACCGATCTCTGTGCCAGTCCCTTAAAGACAATTGAATCGCTTAAGTAGAACATTGTAATCAGCGACACACACACAATAGTGGGAAGCACAAGCAGAAGCAGCTGCCGTGTCAATTAGGAAACACTTCAATCATATAGATAAATGTAGCATTTAATGCAATTAATTTAAAACATTTGAACAAGAGCCAGCTAAATGTATTGTTAGATGGTGCTCCCCACGTGCGTGCCCCCGCTGCACCCACCACCAGGCTAGTGGCCGAGCTAAACATATATGTTAGTTTGAAATACTTTTCACTGACTCATTAGCGACGGTCGATGAAAATTTCAGTTTACACATTGTTGCTGACTTTTGGCCACCTCATACCCCAAAAGTGTTTAATTTCAGGTATTTTCATATTGTATTATCTATTAATCTTAAATTTCCCAATTGAATGTTTCTAGCTATTAATAGATTAGTACAAATAGGCAATAGTGTACTTAGGTAGGCTATTGGGACAGGATCATTTCATGTGACTCCGTGGCGCAACGGTAGCGCGTCTGACTCCAGATCAGAAGGTTGCGTGTTCAAATCACGTCGGGGTCAATTTGAGAAGAATCTTTTTTTTTCGGTTTCTTTCCATTGAGAGTATTATTGTTCAAATAAAATAATTAATTTAATTTTTAATTTTTAATAAAATCAACAATGTTTAAATAATTATTCAGTTTGAATCTATTTTTCAAGACATTTGAATCGATTGTCGATTATAAACCATCGCTGCCATCTCTAACCAAGTGAACAGCTGGTAAGCCAGCTGTTTATGTTTTGGTTTGCAAAATCTCTAAGAAAAGGAAAACTAATCAGAATTACAAGAAATGCTAACATGTCAAAGGTGCCGAAAGTTGCGCTCAATTTGAAGCAGGTAAGCGGAGAAGCCCATTGCAAATGTAAGCGCTGCTTTATGTATTCCTCCACCACATTGCAGTTTATGCTGCGACAGGAAGTGCTGAAGCTATACCGGGACATCTTTCGCACCATTCGCCAAGTGCCGGACAAGCACAGCCAGGCGGAGCTGAAGGCGTGGGCACGGCACGACTTCCAAATTAACCGCTCCCAGAATGACGAGGTGGCCATCAAGATGCTGATGCAGCACGGCCGACGGAGCCTGACTGAGCTGAAGACCAGCCTGCAGCTGAGCGGAGTGAGCGAGGAGAAGTGAGGAAAATGCCTGTTGACTTTATTTGTTTGAGCTCGACAACAATACGAAAATAAATACGAGGTAAAACTAACGACTATGACAAAAAGCTATCATCTTTGAGGTGCTACAATTCGCTGTGTATGAAGTGAAATAGCAGTCTAGCGTCCTGTACTGGAGTTGAACTCCAGTTTTCAGTTTCTCTATATGAGCGGCCTGAGAAAGCTGAGCCAGGCGACTTTGAGCAGGGCCAGGCCAAAAAGCAGGGAGCCCACGCTGGTGATTATCACCGAGATTAAGTCACGCTTGGCACGCTGGTCCACCTTGCCCACCAGGAAGCTGTGTATCACGGTGCTGGTGATGTGTGCGCCATCGAAGCCGAAGCACGGAATGGCGTTGACTAGGGCCAGGCCAATGCTGAAGACCACGTTGTACTTGAGCAGCAGGAACCAGGCGTCCGGCCAGGCGGCACTGAGGAACCTGTAGCGCGGCACAAAGGCTGAAACATCAACCGTGCGCGTCACATCCCACGGATGGCCCACATAAATGACAGGCGGCAGCTTTTCGCCATTCAAATTCTGACGCTTAAACGTCATGATGGCAGTTATGTTGCGCATCAACGGCCGCAGGCAGAAACCCTCCGAGCACAGGCCCGATGTGCAGTGCTCGGTGACATCCTCCAGGGTGCGTCGCACGTTGAGGCACACATGCTGGGGCAGCTCCACGGGCACATCGCCGTTGACATCCTCCACCACCTCGAAGCAGCTTACATTGGGATTCAGCTCGTCGCAGCACTGCAATTGCCCATCGACGCTGTGGTGCGAAATGGCGCTGCTCTCGTCGTTGAGCTGAATAAAGTCCGCGCTCACGCAATAGCCCACCCTCTTCTTCATGGCGCTGTACAGGCAGGCGTGCCAGCTTTCCTCGCTGGTAACCGGACAGCCGTTCACCTGCGTGATCAGATTGTCCACCCTCAGACCGCGCTCTCCGCGCAGCGGCGACTTGCGCGTCAACTCTGTGACTATCACATGTTCGTTGTACACAAAGAAGGGGGACATGGTGATGCCCACCGTCGAGATAAGCAGATAGCAGATGCCGGCAAACAGAAAGTTGTGCCAGATGCCAGCGCACAGGACGCGCAGCTTCTTAAACCAACGCAGACTATTGAGATGATCGTGCGAGAGCTCTGTGTAGGCCATCGGCAGGCAGTAGAAGAACTGCATAAAGGATTTATGAGTTATTTTAAAGTTTCATTCTGTGTCGGGGGCTCACCTTAATGCCAAAACCAGTTACGGGCACATCCTCCAGCACGGCCGCCATGGCGTGACCCATTTCGTGTACCAGCAGGCAGAGCACAAGTGTCGTTATGTAGTAGCCAATCTCCTCGAGTGGCAGGTTGACTCCGGGCAGCAGAATCTCCAGCTGCACTGGCACTGAGGCGGCATACGGCGTGCTGGTGTCCGCCTCGCCGCCACTAAATATCGTAATGATGAGCAGTATGATGCCAATCGGCAGCACGGAGAAGGTTAACAGAACGCCCACATTGAAGCTGGTGACCAGAAAGTTGCGTGTGCAGCTGTTGCCGGCCGATCCCCAGCGTAGCAGCATCCGATTGAATGCGTTCGTGTGCCAGTGCAGGCTCATAAAGTTGACAGTCAGTCCGGTGTTCTTCAGAAACGTATCGTATGGGTAGTGCATGCAGCTCTGTCAAGGATAGAACATATTCAGCTACAGAATCTTACCTTGGTCTGGCTACTTACTTTGAAAAAGCGATCGAAAAAGTATAGAACGCCATAGATGGACGTCAGCACCACGAAGAATGTCACAGGATCCATTATGATGTCGTCCGGGTCGGGTCCTACAAGTTCATTAATGCGAGGCAACCTTCCTGGCAGCCGGTAGGCTTGCGTTCGGAATTTTTGCTGGTTTTATACATGAAGTAACTAAATAATAACTATATAATATAACTATTTAATTGCAAGCAGTGTGACTGCGGAATTATCGATAATATACCGACAGACCCACGGAAATATACAGAAATATACTGTAATTATACCGTGAATCTTAAATCATATTCCTCGATTTTGATATTCTATTTGAAATTACTAGCTAGTTAGGAGTCTCAGCGCTAAAACTATAATTTTATACGGTTTATCAATCAATTCCTCATGAGCTTTCACTACTTTCTTTTGTTGGAATGCTTATAAATTAGCTTTAAAACTAAAAAGGTCAACCAACAAAAATAGCATAATATAATATTTTATAATATCATATTTTGGCCCTTTATTTACAAGTGTTCTAACTAGAGATGGCTCCAAACATGTATCGATGTATCCACACATTCCCCAATCAATCTGATGATGTTGTTGCGCGGTGGTGCCGCGTAAATTCTAATCTACATTTCGGAAATGAAAACAAACTCATTACAACATTACATTACTCATTATAACAAACTTTTACTGGATTACCGATCAGATGAACTTTTTATACAAGTTCAACAAACCTTAGTAAACATGTCAACAAAGAAAAATATGCTAAGGCTTTCAGTTGAAGACAATCGACGCCCGAGTTGGAGAAGCGAATATTTGAATGCCCGACTAATGACGGCTTACGTTGGTGGCATATCGGCAGCGGTGGGTATTTTGGCGGCATGTCTCTTCCTCTCCGTCAAAGGGCACAAACGAAGTGTTAAGGTCTTCTGGACATGCAGCGGTATTGCATATTCGTTAACATCGCTGCTGCTCATTTATGGGACTCTCAAGGTTAGCGCAGATTCATGATTCACGGCAGTCTTGACAATCCTCGTTTTTATTTTGCAGAATCGTCGTTACTTGTTTGTGCCATGGGTGATGTTCATTCTGATGGGACTGGCCGCCTATACGAAGGTTTTTGACAGCATTTTCGGTACGCTTATGATAGGCCTCCTGCTGTCAGTGATTATCAATTTTATTTTTCTTGGCATTGTGATTTATCAGTACAGAACGCTCAGTCGTTTGAGCAATTAAATATGAAGGAATAATAATATAATGAATAATTCCCCTGCAAGCCACTGCTTCCATTTCACAACTATTCTGAGAACCAATACAATATAATAGAACGCTAAAGAATGTTTATGTTTAGCGAGTGATGACTGTAGTGTCGTCAGCTGCTTAGCTGCGGCAGAAGGAGCAGCCAACAAGCGGCGAAATATGGCGAGCAAAACAAAACGAATAAAGTGCATGCATGCGCTCTCCCTCTCTCACCATCTCTCTCACGGAAACTCAACTCCACCTCACTCGCAACTCGAACTCACCTCAAAGTCAGACTGCGTGGACAAAGGACGACGTCGCAAGCTTCGCAGAGCAACGGTACTTTCGAGGGAGAGCAACAGCAACGAACAGACGTCTCAAAGTTAAAGGTTGCAAAGGACGCCTGAGTGTCGCGAAAACTAATTTGATTTAGCCAAACGATACAAAATATTAACGAAAAGTCTGTGCATTCCCGTGTCCTCGTGCAGCCAGTTGAATTTTTGTAATTGCTTAAAGCGGATAGGTCGAAAGTAACAAAGTGAAATTTCGCACTATCGATTTGTTCCAAAAACTGCATTTTGCCAAACACACACACACACACACACACGGTCGTTGGGTGTGCGCTTGTGCTGCAAAGGAGACAGAGAAAGGCAGAGAGAGAAACCAGGAAACAGCTGCTACGGCAACACCAAGCAAGCAACAATTGAAAGATGACGCCATAAAAGTGCTTCCTGGTAAACCCCCCCCAGAGCATTCCCAGCACCAGCATCACAGAACAAGCTTCGCAGCAGCAGCATCCGGGAGATCGACCTCTAAGACGCAACCACAAACGATACTGTGCCAAAGCGTAACTAGGACCACTACGAGGACACCGGACAGGGCGGACAGGGCGACTGCGGACGGAGCAGACGGCAGATTCGGAGAAAACTGGGCCAACCGGGGAAGGCCCGCGCTCCGCTCGGTATTTGTGCACTCGGCGGGTACCACAGCAGAGACAACCCAATGCATTTGGGTGTACAACAACAACGCCCCAAGCAACACCAACAACAACGCGAGCAACAAGAGAAACACCAGCGGCGATTCAGGTTCAGTAAAGGACGCCAATGTCATCCCTACAGCGTGACTGGAATTTGCAGGTGAGCCAAAGGAACGGAGCTCCCTTTCCATTGGAGTGGGCCAAGCGCAAAGCTATTGAGGTAGCACTCCGGGGGGGTTGAGGCTTTGGTGAGCATGCGCCGAGACGCGTGTCATAGGTAAACATTGTAACCCAACCAGAGATTGGGTCAAGCATTACATATGCTGCCACATGCTGGCCCCGCAATAACACATCAGCAGGTCAGGTCATCAGGTACTACGTCCACAAGTGATCCATCTCAATCAGCACACACTACAGCCAAGCCCTCAGTGCGCTATTTATATAGTTCCATAAATTGTATGAACATTGGAGTGGCCGCAGGCAAAGAGACTCCCAATTAAATGGTTTTTGCGCTTCAACAAGTTGTGTGTGCGTAAGCCACCCACTGCCTTGACCGCACACAGACAGGGGGGAACGTTTTCCTTTTCAGCTAAGACCTTGTAAATGTTGCGAAATTGAAAAGCGAAGCGCCCCCACACACACACACACACAAACACACACAAACACTGCTTGTTCCTGAGAATTTAGGCCGGATTACAGCTGACAGGCGGGAGCACAATGGCAGCCTAGGATCTGACATTCGACAAGGTCACAGGGACAGAGCCTGGGGGTGGCTTCTGGATGCTGTGTGTGAGTCATGCTGTTGCAGTTAGCGCTAAATATGTTGCATGCCTCTTATTTACGCAATCATTTGACGCCATCGATGCAGCAGTTCATTAGCGGCACGTTTCTGCCATGACAGGAGACGAAGAGACGAACCCACGCAGTTGCCTGAAAGTAGTTTGCGGCTTCGGCTTACCTGTCGCTTAGTCGGTACGCTTCATGTCTTTGAAGGTTAGATAAGGTTGCTGGATCTTATCGCGTGGCAATAGCTCGCCCTCGCCTTGCACTTGACCCTGAAGAGTCAACACAAATTGGCAGTTTGTTGGCAGGGCAGAGCAGACAAATGGAAAATACCCAGACGTCATGCCAACACAGCATGCACTGGGGGCAACTTATTGCATCGATTTAACAAGCAACAAATACAGGTACGGGTACGGGTAAATCGCAGACCAATTTCGCGGGTAATTACAATATCAAATGCAGCTGGGAGCAGCAGCATGGGCAAGGGTGAAAAGTTAACTCAATTAAAGCAAAGTTACAGCAAAAAACCATTGCATATAGTAGGGCGCTGCAGTGATGTCGTCCACGCTCCTTCGGAGGCTTGCGTGTTTTCGTGACATTTCTTTTAATCACGCAAATTAGCCTAAATGAAGGCTTCCTTGTTCCGCCTCCAGTCAATTTGTCAACAACTTTTGAATTTATGGGCATTTAATCAACTCTTTTTGGTAGCCTTGACGAAGGGTTTCTCCTCTTTCCATTACTGATTCTATTTTAATCATCTTCTCTTTGTAGGGTTCCAGGGGATCGATTTACTGCGCGAGTGAACCGGACCCAGCTGGTGGAGTCCAGTACGAGTCGGGAGGGTTCATTCTCAACACGAAGCCAGCGGCCGGCTCCAGCTCCGGCGTGGCACTGGGCGAAGGTGGCGGTGGATCGCTCTTTTCTATTGTGTCGGCGCCACCCGCACCGCTGCCCACAGTGCCCGCCGTTGTGGTGCCGCTGGCCGAACTGGATGTCAAGCAAATGGAGTCCCTGTGCCTGCCCTCGATGTCACCCTCGCCGGCCCGGCGACCCGCCACCCTCTCGCTGGACGCTCCCTGCTGCCCGCGCACCCTGCACGCCAGCCTGCTGGAGCACCAGATCTCCGAGCTGGAGGAGGACGACAACGAGAACCTGCTGACCGTCTCCAGCATCACGGCACGGCCGTTGATAGCCAAATCGCACGAGCTGCGCAGCAACCGCAAGAGCCAGCAGCAGTACGGCAACGGAACCGGCAACGGCAACGGCTCCCAGACGGCGAAAAGCAAATGCATTCGCAGGGCCAAGGAGCGGGATCGAATCGTGCAGCGACGCAGCAAGCCGCCGGCCAAGGATCGCGACTCCTCCACAACCACAACGGAGAGCGGCGGCGGCAACGTGGAGCCGCCCGACGGTGGCTATGGCTGGTTCATCGTCTTTGGGGCCTTCTCCGTTCAGTTCTGGGTGGCCGGACTGGTCAAGTCCTACGGCGTGCTGTACGTGGAGATAATGGAAACATTTCCCAGCTCGACGGCCACCGTCGCATCCTGGATACCGGCGATACTCTCGGCTCTGTGTTTGGTGCTCGCCCCCCTCTCGAGCGCCCTGTGCCAGCGTTTCTCCTGCCGCACCGTGGTCTTTGTGGGCGGCATCTTCTGTGCCATGGGCATGATGCTTAGCTACTTTGCCACCAGCCTGGTGCATCTGCTCTTCACCTTTGGCATACTCACGGGTGAGTGTGTGTCTCTGTGTGTGTGTCTGCTTGCTCGTTTCTAATATTTCTAACCTTTGCTGCAGGCATTGGCGGTGGGCTTTCGACTACGCCGGGCATCGTCATTGTCTCCCAATACTTTGACACGCATCGCGCCCTGGCCAATGGCATCTGTGTGTCGGGCACGGCCGCTGGCAGCTTTATTCTGCCGGTGCTGATCAAGCATTTGGTGGAGAAGTGCGGCTTCCATGCCACGCTGCTCATCCTGGGCGGCTGCATGCTGCACGTCTGTGTATCGGCGATGCTTTATCGTCCCATCAGCGCGTACGCGGACCAGGGCCAGGGGGGACAGGCTGTAGCGGAGGCCGCTGAGAAGCCGCTGAATGAGGACATTAACCCCAGCACAACGGGCATACTGACCACCTCCACGTATCTGGACACCTGCGAGGTGGTGGGCGGCAATGAGCTGAGCGACAAGTTCATCGAGCATCTGTTCCTCGAGGAGTCCAAGAACCACCTGAACTACTACACCAGCAAGCAGCCAGCGGCGGGGGCAGCACCAGGTGAGTGCAATGGAAACTCTGGGCAGCAGGCCTCACTACTGTTGCATTCGCCAGCACCAGCAGCGGCAAACGACAAATCCGCGCAGGAGAGCGATGATGAGGTGAAGGACATCATTGGCGAGACAACCTTCATCAAGCCCATGAAGAAGGTGCGCAGCTCCGGGCTTCTCCACTCCGTTGAGGATCTGAGCACCGATTCCACCTGGGTCTACCGCAAGCACTCGGGCACGGACTCGAATCGCGGCAGTCGCCGTCGTCGCAATGTCTTTGCCAACGATGAGGTCATCTCGAAGATACAGGCCCACCTGGAGCGGCCACTGTCGCCGCCGAGCGTCGTCAGTCGTGGACTCAGCAAGAGCATGGAGATCCCCACGCCGGTGAGCAATCTCAGCGAGCTGAAGCAGCAGCAGCTGTCGGACAGCGGCATCCTCGACTCACAGCTGGTGGAGTCTGTGAATGGCGAAAGTCCGCACTTTGAGGACGATGACGATGATGATGATGATGATGAGGAGCAGCTGCCGCGCACCTGCTGCGAGCGCATCGAGATGTATCTGGACATTAGTTTGCTGCAGGAGCCGCGCTTCATACTGATGACCCTCTCCGTCACACTGATGTCCGTTGGCTGTCCCTACATGCTGTACTATCTGCCTGCCCATGTCATCTCCATAGGTTACGTCCCCCCACAGCTCCTTTGCCAACAGCTTTGTTTTGACTCTCCTCTTCCGTAGGCTACAACAAGAGCGAGGCGGGCTATTTGGTGGCCATCAGCGCTGTGCTGGATCTTTGTGGTCGCCTGGGCCTGGGCTGGCTGTCGGATCTGCAGCTCTTTGATCGCAAGAAGACCTACACCCTGTGGTAAAGTGCAGAAATCTCCCAGAAGTCACGTCATAACTCTCGACTTTCGATCTTCTTTCAGCATTTTGGGCGCCGGCCTGGCTGTTCTCACCATTCCCTTTGCCAAGACCCTGATTCTGGTGGGTCTCTCCGCTGCCGTTTATGGGCTCTGCCTGGGCAGCTGGTACGTGCTGATGCCCGTGCTCCTGGCGGATGTCTTTGGCACGGACCGAATCAGCTCCAGCTATGGGCTGGTGCGCATGTTCCAGAGCATTGGCGCCATCTCGGTGCCGCCGCTGGCTGGTCTGCTGCGCGATCTCTCCGGCGACTATGAGATATGCTTCTACTGCATGGGCTCCTGCATGGTGCTGGGCTGCACACCGCTCATCGTGTGGTCCATTCTGGAGGCGCGCAATCATCGACTGTTTGTGCAGGGCGAGGAGGACTGCGAGGATGACTGCGAGGATGCTTAGATGACGCATTGTGTTGCGGGTTACTAATTAGTTGGCTGTTGTCGCCCCACCCCCATAAGTTAAACGTGTTTTTAGTAGCCAAGAGCAGAGATAACCAAAGAAAAGGAGAGTGCTCGTAGCGAGTATCTCCATAGTTGAGTTCCTGAGTTTCAAAGTTGCGAAATGCCTCACCGATTCTAGCCACAATCCACTACCAAATATCAATTACAAATTGTATTAGCCCCAAGGTGAATTTACTCCCTGTGCGAGTGGTGAATACGGCTGACAGAATAACGGACAGCGTCAACTTGTACGTAAATTCACCTTGCTCCAGCTTCAACTTCCTCCTCTCTCGCACTCACTGTCTATACATACAATATATTATATTATATTTATCTATACAAAGGGTTCTATGTATCCCTGTAGCTTGTTATAGTTTCAGTTGAGCACAAACCAGATCGTTTTCTGCAGATAAGACATGACTCGAGACGAGATGTGATGGAAGAGAATCCAAACCTATGAAACAAACAAAACCTACTGAGCACCAAAACGTTGCGCAAAAAGAACTGAGTTAAAAAAAGACATGACAAAAAAATCAACTACCCGTTTATAAATAAATGAATAATATAAAATAAATAAAAGAAGCGAACAAGCTATAACTCCATGGACTACCCCACGTGTTGCCATGATCCAAAAGAATATTAACAAAATACTATAGAGACTAGGTACACGCATATGCATATGACCCATATCAGAAATTGTTTTGCCCCGCACTTGGCGTGGGTCTATGTCTATCCTGTAATCACCTACATCGCGTTGCATTAATCTAGTTGTATGTAATATAGTTGTTGTGAGACATTTACCCCTACAAACGGAAACTAACAAATAAATACAAAAATCAAATAAATCCAAAAGGGAAAAGTTTTTCAATTCTTTCACCGAATCACTGACCTGACCATGACCCCAATTGTTTGTCATTTGTTATGCCAACCACAGCTACATGAAACGTGTTTAAAATTAACTGAAAAGAGTTTCAGATAGGCCTCGACAATAAACTCAAACTATATCAACGAAAAATGATCTATGTGGATGAATGTTGCTGCTGCTTGGACCTCAAGTGCGGCTGCATCTTGATAGCGCTCATTGAAGTGCTCATACGTGGAGTGGATCGCTTTTTTGTCGAGTGTAAGTAGAGCTGGCAGTCTGTGCAGATTAATCTTTATATATTCCTCCGCAGATGATTCCCTGCTGGGCCATGCCGCGCTCATTCTGAGTGGCGTCTATGTCCTAAGCTGCATCTTTCTGCTGCTGGGAGCTGTGATGGTGAGTCAGTTTTTGGGCCTAGTTTTGGGCAATAATTATAAATATTTGCTTGCAGAGCTGGCGTGGGTGTCTTCTACCCTATCTCGGGATAGCCACATTACGTTTGTTCGCCTTGATCGGCGAGAGCTTCTACATTTATGGTTACACCGATGACATTGTCTATGAGTATTTGTATTTCAACATGTTCCAAGCGAGTAAGTTGTGCAGCGATTTAAGGGAGATTTCTAACTGATTTTTGAGTCACTTTTCGTATTAGTTTTAGTCTTGTACTTCTGGCTGGTGGTCTACTCATTCTATGACCGATTGATTAAAGTTTAGAGCCAAAGATCAAGCTCCCATTCGCATCTGAAACACTTTCCCTGATTGAATTATGTTTTTTGTTCTCTTAATCCACAAATGGAATCCCCCCACTCATAATTGTGTGTCATGCAATGAATAAATCTCGCTAAAAATAACAATTATGGCATTCGAATTCCATTTTATCTGATCACATCCCACCCAGCATATTAATCCCGACCGGATCCAACTCCATTTCAACGTCATATTTGTGTTCTTTAACGTTTTAGACCGTATTTAATGGCATAAATTATATATTTACATTTGTGGACGGGACTTTGCAACTTAACTCTAGAACTGCTCCAGGCCACGGGGTGCTGGTGGGGCGCCGTACTCCTCGGCGGGTGCAGCGGGTGGTCCGTATTGGGGCGCGGGCTTTTGCTGCTGCTGCTTGTACTTGATGAAGTAGACCTCGGGCTTGCTGGGCTCGGTGGGTGCTGGGGAGGGCAGGATGACGGGCAGCTGCTCCTCGGGCTTCTTCACCAGTACGTACACCAGAGTCTTGTGCTCGTCCTGGACGGGTGGCGGCAGCACCTGGCGCACTGGCGTGGGTGGATTGGGCGCCTTGATGAAGATGATCTTGTAGTGCTTCTTGGGCACTGCCGTCTGGATGGGTGAGGCTGCTGGGTAGAACTCTGGCTCCTCTGGCGGCACATGCACGTACACGTTCTTGGTGACAATTGCCTCGGTGGCCGGGGCAGCGGGTGGGCCGTAGAAGGCAGCAGGGGGTCCATAGGCTGGCAAGGGCTGGGCTGGTGGCGGTGGACCGTATTCCTGTTGCGGTGCTGGAGGTCCGTAGCGGGACCTGGGCGGCTCCGGACGCGCCAAAGCCAGGGCCAGGCTGGCGGCCAGGCAGAGTAGGATTATCTGGGTGTTCATGCTGATCTCGTCGACGGTTTGTTCACGAATGACTCTATTGTGGCAGGTCAATCGGGCATTATATATGAGTGAAGCTTCCCCCCAGATGGCGGACAGCGTTTTCATAACCCCCTTCGGGCCTCTTTGCATAATATTTTCGATGGCTTCCCAATCGCCGTTACGCGTTCCGAGCTGAATCCCCGCACATTGCAGGCGCCGCGCGAGATGCATACTAATGAGGCGACAACGAATCGAAGCCATCGGAGCACATTGTGCCCATTTCGGATACTGAAAACGAAATTGCAAAGGCAAACAGACAGACAAACGGAGGAGTAAATACTCCAGAGCGTAGGAGGGAGAGGCTTGGCTTGGCTTGGCTTGGCCTGGCCACGTTCTGCCGCTTTGACTCTCCACCGGACTGACGACTCTCTTGGACTTCCCGGGCCTCTTTCGGATGCTCATGCTATTTGCCAAAAGTATACGCATTAATTGCCGATTGCGTTGTTTACTTGTAATTTATTGTATAACAAGAAAAACCGAAAAAAATCCGAATATGCTCGCCGTCTGCCGCTGGTAGGCCAGGGACGGTCATTGCAATCGTCATTGCCGTAGGTCTACGCTGCCAGTGCTACAGGAACTGTGTAGCCTTTAGTAGATCAGATTTTATGGGTAAAAACTCCCATTACTTCCGAATCAAGTTTTCTTTTCCCTTGCCCTTAACTTACTGTCACACACTTTGCGTAACTTTTACTCACACAAACGACTCGCTTCTGAACTCTACTCAGTACTAAATCAAAGTCAAGAATATTATTAGCTGCCGGCACAATGATTTATCTACAGAAATGTTGCTGCTTTGTGGATCTACGCCTGGGCACAATGATAGTGGGCTTGCTCCATGCCATTGCTGATTTGTCGGGCGGTGTCTTCATCATGATATTCGCGGGCACAGGTCAGTGAGAGACACAACAGCCACACAGAGCATAAATGATCATTAAGTCTATTCTAGGCACACCCGATCTATGCCACAAGCTGACCCTTTTCCTGTTCCTAATTCATTTGGTTAGTTGCGCGGGTTTGGTCTACGGCGCCATTAAGGTAAGCCAGATGATGCCCTCTATAATCCTCAGTGATTCGCTTCTATTCCATTCTGCAGCTAAACACCAAGTACATGATTCTCTACATATTGATGACCATAGCTATGCTCCTATATCTGATCCCACTGTTTGTGGCCGATGCAATACTCGCCATTTGGTTCTTTGTGTTGCTCACTTATTTTTTATTATTCTGTAAGTGCTGAAGCCACTTTGGCTGCTAACTCTGCTTCATTTAAGAGTTATCTTTTCCCGCAGTTATCTCTTTGTACTGCTGGCTGGTGGCCTACTCCTTCTATGCGGCCCTGGGCGGCACGCTGTTCCTATAAAGCTGCTCTAATCAATCGAGTACTTGTGTCTTTTCATCATCAAATTTTTAATGTATTCGTCTTTGTTTAAGTGTCAAAATTCTTATAATTATAGAAGCCTTTTGCCAAGTCTGCTCTGCTTTATTAATCATTAAATATATAGAGATAAAGCCTGTAGGTTTTGTGTCACAAATCTCAAATGTTTCGCTTGAAATGGTGTTGCTACTGCATTGGCCTGCGCAAGGGCTGCATAATCATTGCCTGCCTGGACTTTTTCATCAATGTCACCGTGGCCACCATGGGCGCAAACTGTAAGCTATTTGACAGAGCTAATAATAACCCAGTTTCAAACCTATCCTTCTGTTCATTACAGACGACTACATCAGTAGAATTGAGCAGGCGGTGGCCATTTGCCATTGCATTGGCTGTGTCTTCCTGTCTGGCGGTGCTCTGCTCGTAGGTTCGACTCTGGCATGACTTCATTCGATTTCACCACTTCCCCCACAGCCTACAGAAATCATCCGTGCTGCTGATCTTCTTCCTCATTACCAGCCTCACCAACTATGTCATACTGATTGCCTATGTCATCTACATTTTTACGGATTGGGTGCCCGAAGCAGCCTTCATAGTGCCTTCTGTTTTGGTGTACACGGGTGGGTTGGCTTTAACGCTCGTGTGCCCAGAATCTCTCTCTGTCTCTCATTAGGCTTTGTTTTTCTTTACAGCAATTGGGATTTACTTTTGGCTCATTGTCTTCTCGTATAACAAAATCGTGACCAGCGATACTGTTATAGTTGAGGTCTAGGATGCTTATATTAGCATTTAAATTAAAACTGAATAGCAATTCAAATTCCCGGTGGATTTCTGTCTATAATTATTAATAAAAGATACTTTCTGATGTTCCGTTTGGCACTCGAAACTGTCCTGACTTGCACAGAGTTTAAATATAAATGGTTCGTGCCCTTAGCCGGCATGCGATAGCTCTTAAATACCGCTTGCAATTGGCCAACCCTTGCTTTGACTGCTCTAAACTTTAGAGGGATGTGTTTTATTACAAGGGAATAATGTTAGCAGCATGTGCACTTAAAGCTACGCTTAAACTAATCCATCTACAGATATACAATTTCTACTTAAGCCTATTAAAAAATATGTGCCAATTAAGGCAAACATATGTATCTTCATGATACAGTTTGTAGTGCTGTACAGGTCAAGCTATTACTCGCTGTTCACCAGCTCAAACCACTGCCGCATGGCTTCGCTGAGCACCAGCGGCAGCTGGTTCAGATCCCTCACAATCACGTAGTAGGGAAACGGAAAGCTGTCCAGATACGAGCTAATGTTCACCGAACCATCGGCATTCACTGCCACATGCTGTATGTCCAGTATAGAGTTCTACAAAGAGAATGTGGTGTGTGATTAAGTACAAAGTTTAATGGCAATTCTGGAATGTGCTCTCCTACCTTATTGTCGGGATTGTCAATGATGATGTACACCAGAAAGATGCGCTGCAATCGTGCCAGTTTGATGGCACTCTTCACCTTTTGGGCGCCCTCGCTGAATATGTTGCGTCCATCGCTGAGAATGAGCAGCAGATTCTCAAACAGGCCATTGTCGCCGCCCAGGCCGCTCTCCTCCGAATTTGCGGTGCGCATAAAGTCCAGCAGTCCAGCAATTTTCGTCTTGTCCTGAGCAAAGTTTAAGGCGTTCACCAAACGCGGACCATCGAACTGTTCCGTGTGGTTGAGGATGATCTGGGGCGCCTCACCGAACGAGACAATGCTCAGGCGGCCGCTCTCCAGCAGTGTGAGGGCCTGCGAGACCAGTGAGATTGCCTCCAGGGTCAGCGTTTTGGAATTGTTGTGATGCATCGACTTGGAATCGTCAATGGCAATCGTAATCTTGTAGTCACGCTGCGCAGGCTTCGTGCGTCGCAGCCAGATCTTGTCCTTGCGAAACTGGGACGCAATGTAGGGAATGATCTTCTTCATATTGATGCGTCGCCCGGTGCGATAGTCGCCCTTCAGGCGCGTGCACTTCGTGGGCTCCAAGATGAGACGCAGCTGCTCGCAGAGTTCGCGCGCGTTCTGGGTCATGCGACTGGATATACTCTGCCAGTTCTCGTAGTCCTCGTGTTGCGGTTGAGACTGTACAAAAAGGGAGTGAACATTTAGTTGATAAGTTTGGTAAGGAATCCTCTGAAACTTACACCGCGGAATGTGGTCAACTGTTGCTGGTACATTTGTCGCAATTCTATTTGCTGGCCCGTGCTTAGCTCCTCCGCCTGTGCGCTCTTGTCCATCAGCAGCTCGATGCTGTTCAATCAGGGATTGGCAATAAGTTGCTTTGCCATTTGCTTTAGATTTTAATCTACTCACTTGCTGTGCGCCGTCGTCTCTGCGCTGCGTGGCACTGTCATTGTGGGCACCACTTCACCCTCGATCTCCATGCCCTCGGGTGTCTCCAGACGTTCCTTGGACTGCTCCGTTTTGGATGGTTTATCGGACTTTTGCTCCGTCTTCTCTGCCCCCAGCTGCTCGAGCTGTGTGCCTTCCTCCTGTTCGACTGCTGGCTCTTCGGTGTCCATCAATTCATCGGCATTATCCGCTTCTGTTTCCTCAGTGGGCGCCTCATCATCCTCCTGGTTCTGGATCTTCTTCGATTGCTCTTCGGTGGCATTATCCAGCGTAGTCTTGTCACTGTTCTTTGGCTCCTTGACATGCTGGTACTCCTCTGCCTCGGCGGGATCTGTTTCCTCCTGCTGCTGCTGCTGTTCGGACTCTTCCTTTTCGTTGGACTCCTTCATCTGGTCAATGGTCTTCAGTTGCTTCAATTTATTCTTTTCCGCTTCACCTATTGAAAAACGAAACAGATTAGATTTCGGAATACTTGGGGGAATCTATGTTGCTTACCCAGCGTGCGCTCCTCGTTGGTGCGTCCCTGCTTGCGCTTCTCCTGCGTCTGCTTCTCGTTCTTGCGCTCCTCCTGGGACACAGTCTCCTGGGTCTCGGCTACGCCCTGGTGGCCGCCATCGTTCGTCTGCAAAATGGTTGACAAATGGTTAATCGTAGCAGAGTTTGTCTCGAGCGCGCACTTACATCGTTCTCGGCCTGGCCAACGCCATCCTTCTCCTCGCCCGTTTCCTGCTCATCCATCTTTTGCTCCTGCTTGACATCCTGATCCTGTGGCTGCTGCACCTGGTCCGCCGAGCTGCTCTTCTCCGTCTCCGGCACGGACTGCACATTCTCCTCCTTGCTGGACTTGTCCAGCGACTGCGTGTGCTGCTCCGGCTTCTCCTCGCGCTTTTCGGCTTCCTCTGCCTCCGGTTCCTCGGCATCGGCGGGTTTCTCCTCCTCTTCGCCACGCGTCTGGGTGGTGGGCTCCTCCTTTTCGTCTTCCGCTGTGGCTTCGTCTGCCTCATCTTCTGGGCCATTTTGGCTACGATCAGCGTCCGCCTCCTTGCCCGCTTCCGCTTCCTCTTCAGAGTCGCTGCCATCGCTCTGTGGATCGGCGTCCTGCTCAGTTGGCTCTTCCTCGGCCTCGCCATCGGCATCCTCGGCCGGTTGCATGTTCTCCTTCATGGCATCGATGTCGAAGGGGTTCTCGTCGGTGGGCTCCTCCGCCTCGTCGTGGCCCTCGTCGACGTTGTTCATGTCGCCCAGATCCATTTCCTCGGGCTCTGGCGGCTCCTCCAGCTCGTTGTGGACGGCATTTGTTTGCTCCTCGTCCATTTCCGGATCCTTCATGTCATCGATGTCCTTGGCCTGCTCCTTGCGCTTGTCCTCGCTGTCGCCCGGCTCGTTGGTGGCATCCAGGCCATCCTTTTCGTGCTCATCTTGGCCATCCTCCTTGGCGGCCTCGTTCTTGGTGTCCAGATCATTGTGCGTGTCCTTCTCGTCCTTGGTGCCCTTGCCCTGATCCTCCTCGTTGAGTTCGGGCTCCTCCTCCTCGGGCTTCTCCTCGTCGTCGCCCCAAATCTGCTCGTCCAGCTTCTCGGCGCCCTCCTCCGTCTCGCCCATTTCCTTGTTGAGCTCGTCCTCGTCCTCGGACTCGCCGCTGTCATCCTCCTCGTTCTCGGGCTTCTCCACGTCCTGCATCTTGGCATCGAAGTTGTCGCTCATGTCGATGCCCTTCTCCTCCTTGCAGTCGGGCTCCTGCTTCTCGTCCTCGTCCTTGCGATCCTCCGGCCGCTTGGCATCGTCCAGCTGATCCTCAGACTCGATCTTATCCGAGGCATCATTCTCCCCCGTACCATCCTCCAGCCCAAAGCCCTCGCCAGTCTTTGAGTCCTGCTTCGACTGCCCCTCCTCGTCCTGCATGAGATCGGGCGGCACGCAGAATCCCTTGCTGCCAATCTCCACGAATATCGTCAGCATCACGGACATCATCTTGGCCGAAACCTTGTGCGTGCCCAGCTGCTGCAGCAGCAGATAGTCGGCCAGCAGCTGATACTGCTCCAGGATGGGTATCAGCGCCACGGCACGACGCAGGCACAGCAGCTTCTCGGCACTGGGCTGGGCATGCTTAAGCACCAGCAGCACATTGGAGAGCTTCTCGAGAACGCGTGGCAGGCTGAGCAGCTGCCAGTCTGCCACCAGATCGCTGGTCAGACACTTTGTCAGATGCTGCTCCTGCAGTGCCTCCGTTTGCTCCTGCTGCTCCTTGCCGTTCTCCTGCGCTTGGCCGTGCTGCTTGTAGATCTTCTGCAGCGACAGCAGCACGCTGTGGGCAATGTTGGCCAGTTCCGTGTCCGCATTGGACACATCTATGGGGTCCGCCTGCGCCTGCCCGAGCTCAGCGTGTGTCTCCACCTTCTGGCTGGTTAGCAGTTCCAGCAGCGGCTGAGCCAGAGGCAGATGGGCATTCGAATCGGTACGCAGCAGCGCGAGGATCTTCTCAATTGTCTCGAGTATCTGGCGGTAGCCCCTCTGGTGTTGCTCCATCTTGTGTGCGGACACAAACTCGAGGCTGGTGTGGTTTAGCTCGTGCAGCAGCTTCTGGCTGCTCGCCAGTATCTGCCCGCACAGCTCCGCGAGCTGCGACTGCGCCAGAGGCACTGTCCGTTCCAGAGCGCGATGCTCATTGACCTCCGACGATGCAAGATTTGGCGGCGCACAGCTGAGCAGCAGCTGCCACTGCCTAAGGACATAGTGGATCTGGCAGAGCTTCTGCTTCATCTCTGCACCCAAATCCGCACTGCGGGCAAAGTCTAGCGACTGCAGATCAGTCTCTGCCCGCTCCCTGGCATCGGCCACCTGTCGCAGATTGGCCAAGGCGTTGCGCAGTTCGTGCAGCTGCCGTGTGGCATCGGAGAGCTGCTGGCGCTGCTGCTGCACCAGCAGAAACATGTCCACGGCAAAGCCCTTGATGCGCTCGATATTGGGCGGGCCCAGCTCCGAGAGCGGCGTCAGCATAATGTTCTGCAGCAGCTTCAGCTTGAACACGCTCTTCATGAAGTACAGGTCCAGATGCTCGTTGAGATGCTGCCAGCTGGGATGGAGGCGCGGCAGCATGGCCCGGATGCAGTAGGGCGGCAGTGCAAAGTCCTCGAAGTCGGTGCGCAGCGAGAGCTCCATGAGGCCCGTCTTGTAGCTGACGCCCAGCCGATGGAGGGTCTTGAAGAGGTCCGTCAGCGCCTTGCGCTTCTGCTGGAGTATCTGCTTGGCCTGCAGCTTCTGCTGCGGTCGTTCCTTGCTGCGATCTACGTTGAGGGCGCGCAGATGCTCGCAGCGTTCCAGCTGATCGGTCAGCAGCTCGTCCAGCTCTGTGATCAGCTTCCCGTAGGGCACATGCGCCAGCGTTTCCTCCACCACATGCCGGGCGGTGGCAAAGTGCTTGTCCAGTCGCTGCAGCAGCGCATTGTCGGCGACATGCTCCGCGCGGAGGGAGAAGCTGTCGCGCAGCTGCTCGCTGGCCACAAAGCAGCCCGGCTGATCGGCGAGGAGGGACTTAATCTTGTGGAGGTGCCGCTGATTCTTGGCCTTCTCGTTGCCGAAAGCGTAGTCCTTGGCGGTGGCATCCTTGGGCTGGAAGACCTCGCTGATCTTCGCCTGCAGCGCCAGCTTGTACTCCTTGAGGAACTTGTTCAGGTTCCGGTGCACGCCGGCCACATTGTTGCGCATGCTGAAGTAGCTCAGGTCCTTGCTGTAGCTCTGAATCTTGACGAATTCGCGCAGTTTCTTCTCGATGGGCGCACGGCGCGCCTTCACGCTCTCCGCCACCTCGCCCGCAAACTGTGAAAAGTACAGTTGGAGATTGTGCAGCGCGGCAATCAGTGGAGGCAGCCCCTCAATCTTGCCCGCCCGCTCCACGTTGTGCAGATACATCTCGAAGCCGTGGAGCAGCTGCAGGCGCACATGGAAGTCGCCGTAGGCGGCGGCCTCTACAAACTGCCGCAGGATGCGCACCATTTGGGGCAGCTCGACGCGGCTGGCCTCGCCCAGATCCTGGGCGTCCAGCAGCTGGTCCTGCCCGAAGCGCTGCTCGGCAAACTTTATGTCCGTGTAGGAGTGGTCCAGCTTCTTCTGCTGGATGAACTGCTGCAGCAGATTGTAGATGAAGAACCAGTAGCGATGGGCCTGCAGCTCCACCTGCTCGGCGGTCTGGTTGAGGCACTGGCGCCAGTGCTGCAGCTCCAGCTTGGTCCATCGCTGCACAAACTCGGCCACCTCCAGCTCCTCGGGCACGAGATTGTTCTTTCGGTGGGCCACCTCGTTCCAGAGGGCCACCTTCTGGCGTAGCAGCTGGAAGCCCGTGTTGAAGCGCACCACACAGGCGTGGGCGGGCAGCTTGCGGATGCGGCCAATCACCAGTCGAATGTCCGCCAGTCCCGCGTGCTCTGGGTACAGCTCCAGTTGCTCCACCACTCGCCGCTCGATGCGCTCCAGCACGTCCATGCAGCCCTGCACCTCGGCTATGTTCGAGTCTTTGTAGTAGTCGTACGGCTGGCTCTTGCGTGCTCCTCCCACCTCCTCCTGCAAGTCGATGTCACGCAGCTGGCGCTGTTGCAAGGCCAGCCCAAAGGCCAGGCCGTTGCAGGCGCTCTCGTCCAACGCGGCGCCCAGAGCGGTTCGGTAGTGGCCATGCAGATGGGCAAAGACCTGGAAGCGGGCCAAGTAGGGCGACAGGAAGTGGAGCTCTGCCGCTGCTGCTGTCTGGTCCTTGGGCTGCTCGCGGTAGTAGACGGGCGTGTGGCGTGCCATTACCTCGATAAAGTTGCGCGCCAGAAAGGCGTAATCCTGTTCGGCCACAATCTGCGACAATTTCGCCTTGCTGTCGGTCTGCTTGTCGAGCTTCAGCACCTGCTCGAGCGTGGGCTGGGCCAGAAACTCAGCAAAGTCCTCCTCCAGATGGGTGGGGAAGTTCTCCTCAATCTCCTGCAGCTCCACCAGCTCATCGCTGTCCACGCCGCCGCGGCTCTTGGTCACGTACAGACTCTCCGCCTCTGCCTTGAGCTGGCAGCGACGCTGCTCCTCCTGCTGCCATGTCTGGTTGCAGATGCTCAGCGCATCGTCGTAGGCCGCAAAGCTTGCCTCGTCGATGCTCGCTGCCAGGGCGATGTAGTTGCGCAATTCGCTGAGCTTGGCCTTCAGCAGGCGGAAGTACTCGTGCTCCGAGTGCGGCAGCTCCGAGAGCAGTCCATAGAGATGGCTGTTCCGTGTGCGTAGCGGCTGCTGGGAGGGGAACTGCACAATCTCGGCGATGGTCTGCTGCAGCTGCTCCGCCCTAGCCACATTGCCCGCCTGCAGCACTCGTGCAAAGATCACTTTCAGCGTCTCCAAACCGAAGCGCAGCTGATTGACGGCACACTTGATGGGCTCCACAAAGTCCTGGTAGTAGCCGGTGTAGCGGGTGAGCGTGTGGTGGACAAATCTCTGGGCATTGGCCAGCCACAGCTGCAGCTTGCCAAGCGTCTCGCTGGTGCTCTTTTGCTGGCCACTGCTGGCCACCTGGGCACCCACAAAACTGCTCCAATCGGTGCGCACGACGCACAGCAGGTTGTACAGCGTCTGGCAGTCCCCATTCGAGTGGAGGAAATGCGTCAAATCCTGCACTAGAGCGGCGTACAGGCACTGATCGGGACGCAGGGCGAGCTTCTGGGAGAGTTGCTGCTGTCGCTGGCGTGCCGCCTGCAGGCGCTGCACCAGCTCCGTGTGAATCTCCTCCCCAAAGTGGCGGTAGTCCATGATGATTCCCATAAAGTCGTAGGCGGTGGTCAGACTCCGCAGGCAGTCAATGTCCTCGGTTATGTATTGGTTCTTCAGGCGATTCTTCTCCACGGGATCGATCAGCGGCGCGTGGGTGAGCAGGCACAGTTCCAGAGCTCCCACCAGGGCATGGGTGAAGGCCACATCGAAGGCGGACGTCAGGGAATCCTGTGGATCATCGCTTGCCCGCAGTTGGCCGATCATTGCGCTGAGTTCGGTGCTGCAACGCTCAAAGCCCGCGTCGGATTTCTGTGCCCCGCGACTCAGTTGCGTCACGTACTCCAGCTCCTTCAGCAGCTGGCTGCCACTCTCGCGCGCCTGCCACCAGTTGTTGGCCCGTGCACTGTAGCGGGATGCCAGCAGCGTGGAGTTCTGCCAGAGCAGCTGGCGCGTCTGTTGCAGCGAGGAGCGCCACGTTTGCAGCTGGCTGATGGGCACCGAACGCAGCTGGCCGTTCTTCTGGCAGATGAGCGACAGCAGGACACTGGTCAATGCGGGTCCCTGGTAGCTGTAGCGACTGGAGAGATCCTTCTCATCCGCGGCGGAGGAGGGTCCCCACACGCAGTCAAGGCGCGTGGACAGATTGTCCAGCTGGTAGCACTGCAGGGCGTTGCGGTACTGCCGCTGATACGTGCGCAGTCCCTTGTAGCTGCCTCCCAGCCGCTCCAGAAGCGAGCCAAAGTCCTGGCCATCCAACTCCTGCCACAGCTCCTGCCAGACACTGCGGATCTGCGCGTGAGTGGCCGTGTCCAGGCTGTTCAGGCACTGCCACAGATGGCCATTTAGCGTTAGCAACTGCTCCGTGTACATGGGATTTACTTGGTCATCAGAGTCCTCACGCCACGTGCCCGTCAACAGGCGCTCCATGAAGAACTCCCTTAGAGCAGCCATCAAGAGCTGCGGCGAAGCGATGTCTGCTTGGTTCTGCTGCTGCTGCTCCTCCTCCTCATCTGTGGCAGTCAACAAGGTCTTGAGTGCATCAAGGTCCAGGTCCGCATGCTCCAGACTGCTTTCTGTTTGCTCCTTGAGCAGCGTTTGCAGTTTTTGCAGCGACGATTGTAGCCCAGCATTGGCATCTGCCAGCGAACCACTCAGCTCGAATGTTTTCAAGGCAAAGCGCTGCGTGTGCGTGCGCTGAAACGAGCGCCACTTGTGCGACTCATCCGACAGCAGGGCCAGCCATCTCCGCAGCCAGACTGGCTCCTCCAAGCTGCCATAACAAGGCACCACGCTCAGCTCGCGCTCAAGTTGCTCCAGATCCAAGTGTAGTTTGATCTAGGAAAGGGAATCGTTTTATTTATGGGTCTGCTGGTATCCAGATTTACTCACCTGCTCATCCAGATAGTAGGGCTGGAACTGTGTAAACTGTTTGCCGTAGATCTTGCAGGATATATTCAGCGGCCGACGCGTCTCCGCCACATAATCGTTGATCTTCTGCACACTCTCCGCCAGTGCTGGTTGTCCATTCAAGTCCGACCAGAGGGGTGCCAGCAGATGCTTTTGCAGCCACTGGAAATGCAGCACCAACTTGTGCATCAGCGGCACAAAGATCTCATTGTTGTAGAGCAACTTCTGCTGCGCTGTGGCCAGCAGGCGATTAAACCAGTGGAATCTCGTCACGAGCTGTGCATACTGTGGCAGATCCAAGCGTGCTGCGGCCAACTCTTGCAGCAATCCCTGGTGCAGAGCCTCAAGGAACTGCCCAAGGTTCGCCAGCAAGTCATTCGCGTATTTCTCTGTAACCTTCTGCTCGCTCAGAGCCTGCGAATACTGCAGGGCGCCCATCAGCTGCACGTTTGCCTGCCTGCAGCTGGGCACATCTTGGAGCAGCAGTCGAGCCAGCAGCGAGGCACTGATCGTTAAGGTATCCGCAGTTGACGTTTGTTCTCCCGCCGTCGCATAGTCGCGCAGACGGGGAAAGAGCTTCCTGTTCCATGGCAGATTTAGCAGCAGTGAATCTCCGCCCTGCCCGGCATGCTCGCCCAGACAGTTGCATAATTTCTCCGCCAACTCTTGCATCTCCTTCGACTGCTCTGTGAGCCACGGCTGCAGGTAGAGATGTCGCATCTGGAGATCCCCAAAGGCAGACGACTCGTACAGCATGTAGACAAAGTGACGGCACAGCTCCTGCAGCTTGAGTCCACTCAAGTCCAAAGCATCCATGCGCTGAAAGAGCGCCGCGAGCTGCTGCTGCGGCACCTCAGTCTGCTCCTGGGACAAAGCACGGAGCAGCACGCGCAGAGCCACCGCCTGGAGTTTGATTAGCTTTAGGGAGTTGAGGTTACCCGTGCTGATGATGGCATCTCTGAGCAGATCCTCCTCAACGACGGTTGTCTCCTCTCCCTTGTAGAGCTCCGTGCGTGCGAGCACCACTTCGCGCAGCTTGTTCTGGTAGTAGGACAGCCCGTAGCCCATTAGATCCGTATTGGCCGAGTACACATAAACCTCCATGGCAGCCACATAGATGGCACGCTTCAGCTGATAGCCAATGCGCCGATAAGCGGCGCTCAGAAAGGCCAATTGCGTGAGATGCGAGATGGAGTAGCTGTTGAACTCGGTGAGGCTGCTTATGCCGCGATGTATGTCCAGAATGCAGTCAATGGCCTCCGTTTGGTGCACGCCCTGGCCGTGCACGAACGCGCGCATGTCGTCCATGGTGTACTCCTCCCGGGACAATGACAGCTCCACGCAACGATTGCGCATCGCCCGCGAAAGTTCCCCATTCTTGGGATCGATGGTGAGAAAGGCTCGGAAATTCGGTGATTTGTGGACCACCTCAGCGCTATCCTGGGCTGTGATGCCCTTTTCGGCAATCAGCAGATTTCCATTTGGCTCAAAGACCGGATTCAGGCGATCCAAAACAGCCGACGAGCAGAGATTCACGTGCTCCAGCAACATGAATTGGCCGCACTTCAGCGCCGTCACAATGCGCGAGTCCACCCACTCGAAGGAGCCGCCCGTGTTGAGCGATTCCGCACTCCTGATGTATCCCTGTAGCACCATGAATTGGGACCCGATTTCACTTAGCTGCTGGTATGCCGCCACTTGGCAGCTCGCCGGCGTTTCCTCTAGCTTCTGAATGATCAGGCCGAGCGCATGCAGCCGCTTGCCAAAGAACTGCAGCTCATCGGTCACGCTGCCGTGCTGGGATTCTGAAAGGTGTACGAATGTTAGTTCCAAGTGGAAATCACTCCCGGTGTCGTCTCACCTTCTGTTACTTTGCCCAGCATGTTGTACTTGCTCCAGCAGCTCCACAATTGCTGCACAAAGTCTGTGTCTGTACGCTGCACGAATGCCCGCTGCACAGAGGCAAATACCAGCGACTCCACGCGCTTGTAAATGGCTTCCAGATGGCGATTCAGATCAATCTAGTGGGGGAGGAAACACAGGATTAGGATTGAAGCGGACTCACAGTTGTGTCTGTATTTACCTGCTGGAAACTGCCCGTGACAGAGTCATCAATGATGTCCGTATTGCACACACGATTCGAGAGCACGCACAGAGCGTCAATCAGCTTGGTCTTGCCACTGTCCGTGGCGCCGCAGAGCAGCAGCGGCTTCTCCATGTGCACCGTCTCCACAATTTGCTTGAGCAACTGCCGCTGACTCTGCAGCAGCAGTGGAGCGTTTTGCTCCTGCTGCGTAGCCATGTCCAGGCTGTCGGCCTGTTCCCGCTGCAGCACCACATCATTTAGATACACCCTGTCTGCCGTCCAGTACAGAGCCACATCCTCGGCCACCGCATTCAGTTGCTCCGCATCGCAGTGGAAGACATTCGCGAAGGCGTTCCGTATGTAGACCTTGTCCTGGTCGCAGCGCATTCGCTGATAGTACACCAGCTGCATGCGTTCGTACAGTGTGAGGAGAAACTCACGAAAGGCGGACCGAAAGGAAGTTTGAGGCGTGGCCTTGATGATGTAGCCCGTTTGGGGATTGTGCAGCAGATCGCACCAGCGGAGGATGTCGCGCAAGTTGAACTCGTACGGTCCGCCGCGGTAGCCAAACTCCATGGTGGCCACACCCGCATCCAGCTGCTCCGAGAAGCGCACCAGACGTGCGGCCAAATCAAAACTGTTTGGAGAATTCTCCTCATTGCTGGTTGCCTTGCAATTGTACACGTCAAAGAGGTTGCCCTGGATGGGGCTGTCTGGTTCCAACAGTGAGCTGAAATGGCTGCCCAATTGCTCAAAGTATTCGCCGTACTTGACCTGCACCACATGCAGCAGATCCTCGGTGGTCAGCTTGCGCAGGTAGACCTTGGTGAAGCGATTGAGGAACGATTGGGGCAAGCCCTTGCGTCCGCCGCCCTGCTTGAGGGGATTCTGGCAGGCAAAGATGCGCGTGCTGCCAGCCAGATGGAAGCTCTTGTTCAGCTCGGGTATGTACACCTCTCCGCGGTGATCCAGCACAGCGTTGAGTCCTTCCAGCACGGATTGGGGCGCCAGATTCAGCTCATCGAGCAGTATCCAGGTATTGTGAGCCTTCAGAGCGGCCAACAGGGGGCCATCGCGCCACACAAAGCTGCCAATGGCTGACTTCGTTGCAGCCTCCTGCCTGTTGGTCTCCAGCAAATTGTCCTCCGCGGGCAGATCGGTGCCAAAGAGATCGGCCAGGTCCGTGTGCTCGCACAGATTGATGCGCACAATCTGGTAGCCAATGGCCGCCGCGATGCTCTCCACAATGGATGTCTTGCCCACGCCTGGCGGTCCCTCCAGCAGCACGGGCTTTTGCAGTGAGAGCGCCGACAGCAGACGGAATAGATTCTGCTTGGTGGTGGGGGCATCAAAGAAGAAGCCGGCATCGTGCTTGGCGGGCGACAAGCTTCGCTCCTGGTTGACAGCAATGAAGAAGGGACGCAACCCAAAGCTGGCCGCATCCAACTCCACTCGATCGCCCCGCTTCTGCGTCACCTCCTCGAGGGTAAAGTGCTCGTCTAGGATCAGGGCAGCCTGCTTGATAGCCTCTTCGATGATCGTGCGCTTCAGCTGCTCCACTTGGGTCTGCGGCTCGTGCAACAACATTTCCAGTGCGTCCAGAAAGATGGTCTCCAGCCCAAAGATGGCCTGCTCCGCGAAGCTCAGCTGTCGATTGCTTGCAATGTAATTGGCCCAAGCGAGAATGTCGCGCACAGAGAACCGAAACTTGTCATTGGATTGACGCATGTAGAGCACTATTTCCACCAGGTACTCGGCCACTTTGCGGCTGGATGCGGGGTCTTGTCGGGCCATGCAGTTGTGGGCGATCTCGATGAGGTCCGCCTTGTTGTCGGAGGGCAGGCACCAGATCTCGGTGAAGCGATTGCGCAGCGCAGGCGAGAGTTCCTTCTTGCCAAAGTCTCCGCCCGGGTTCATGGTGGCCAGGAACTGGAAACCCGCCTTGGCCTGCACCACAAAGTCAGAGTCAGAGTCGGGACTGACGCCGCCCTTCTCGGCCAGCAGAACGGTGCGCTCCGTCTCGAGTATGCAGTTGAGACGCTCGAGAACCGAGTCCTCGGCCAGCGATATCTCGTCGGCCATGAAGTAGGAGCCCTCCTGCATGGCATAGATGAGCGGTCCGTCGGCCCACTCGAAGAGCTGCGTGCTATCCGCGCCGCGGCAGGGTCTTAGGCCGCCCAGAAAGTCCGCGCCCTCCGTGTGCATGTGACAGTTGAGTATCCGCAGCTGGACCTCGGCTATGCTGGCCAGCAGCTGGCAGACAGTGGTCTTGCCACAGCCCGTGGGACCCACCAGCAGCACTGGCTCATCGAACTCCAGCGCCTTGGCCGTCAGCACGGCCATGCGGGTCATGTTCCTCGTCCACACGATGTCTCCGCGCAGCTTAAAGTTGCGTATGGCCTGCAGGATGTGCCTGCTCACGGGAGAGCTGCTCTCGCGATCCGTTTGAATGTCGAAGAGCCGCTGGTGGTCGATGATCTTCTTGAAGTTCGCGTGCAGCGTTCGCTCGATCAATTGATGCTCGTCGGGGGTGCGCACCTTGGCGGACAGCACCAGGTAGCCCTCCTCGACGAGATGCTGATTCCAGTCATAGCGCAGATCGTCGTGCAGCGACTTGTCCGCATGCGTGTAGCGGTTGCCCCAGCGGAAGAGATCGCGCAGGGTGAACACTTGCTTTGCGGTGTTCTTGCGATGCTGCTGCAGCTGCGTCATGCACTGGACCATCTTGCGCGCGTACGAGGGCGGGATGAGGCAGCGCTTCTCGAGAATGGTTTCCAGTTCGACGCGTGGGATGTCCGCAAAGTGCAGCTCAATGAAGCGATTCTTGAAGGCACGCGAAAGGGTCTTGCGGCCGCCATAGAGTCCCGGCGGATTCTGTGTGGCAAAGAGCATAAAATTGGGATGCGCCTTCACCAGCGTCTGCGTCTCGGCAATGTACAGCTCTCGATTGTCGTCCAGCACGCGATTGAGCGCCTCCAGAATGTCGGTGGAGGCCAGATTCAGTTCGTCCAAGATGATCCAGAAGCCCTGCCGCATGGCCTGCACCAGGACACCCTCCTGGAAGGTCAGCTTGCCCTCTAGATCGGCCGCATAGGTGCCAATGTACTCCTGGAGGTCGGTGTGCTCGTGATTGTTGATGCGCAGACACCGATTGCCACTGCGACGGGCCACATAGTCGATCAGACTGGTCTTGCCGGCACTGGTGGGTCCCTGGAGCAGGATGGGCAGCTTGCCAATCGAAATGATGCGCGCCAGATCCTGCAGATTCTTCTGCACGCTCTCCGTGAGGATGTAGTGCGAGCAGGACTGCTGCTCCAGGCCGCCCAGCTGCACCCAGTAGCCCTCGAACTGCAAATAGTTCTCCCCCAATCGGGGCAGCTGCTTGCTCAACACAGCCTTGGCATTGCTCAGCAGCGCATTGCGGATGAGCAGCAGCACCACATGATGCGACTCGGGGTCCAGTTGGGTGAGAAAACTAAGGCAGAAGCTCTCGTACAGATTGCGCTCGATGGAGCCGCACAGATTCCGCGCACAGATGCGCAGACTGCGGCAAAGGGTGCGCAGCGAGTAGACGGGACGATTGCCCAGGCCATCGTTCAGCTGGAGCTCCGAGAGGCGACGCAGCGACTTGTAGAGCTGGACAATGCTGTGCACGGATTTCCGCTGGATGCCCGTGTTCACCAGATAGTCGCTGACCAGCAGACTAAGGTCTGCGTCGGTTGTCAGTTCATCCACAAAGAATTCGGTGAAGCGATTACGGATGCCCACGGGCAGATCCTTCTTGCCAATGTCCGTGTTGGGGTTCATGCACGCGAAAATGCGAAAGTCCGGATGCCGCTTAACGGGCGTAAAGTCGCCTCGTTCCAGCAGCACCACCGATCCCTCCGGCTCGAGAATGGTCGACAGGCACTCAAGCGTTTCGGCCGATGCCAAATTGATTTCGTCCAGCAGCACCCACTCCCCATTGCTGATGCAGTTCACCAGGGAGCCGGGTATGAAGGCAAACGAAATATTAATGCTCTTGTCCAGCTGCGTCTGCAGCTTCTGCAACTTCTCGGACAGCGTGCGCCAACGCGGCACCGTCTGGTGGCTCTTCAGATCCGGATTCCTGAACACCTGCTGGCACAGGCTTATCATTGTGCGTATGATGACGCTGTGGCGGCCACTGTTGTAGTGCGTGGCAAAGATCCGCAGGAACTGCATGTTCTTCTCCGCATTGAAGGTCTCGCAGAGCAGATGCTCGAACTCGCAGCGCAGCGGCGACAGCACATAGTTGAGTTCGACGGGCTTGAAGCCGCCCACGAGATCGGAGACATCCGACTGGTTGTTCATGTTCACCACGACCAACTTGTGTTCGGTGCGCTCGGCCAGGTACTGCACGGAGGAGGTCTTGCCCACGCCAGTTTCTCCCACCAGCAGCACGGGCTCCGAGTGGCTCACACACACGGCAATGCGTTCCAAGATGCAGCTGGCGAGGCGCGTAAACGAGAAGGTGGCACGCTTCACGCTGCTCTGGCCGATGGCCCTCCTGGTCTTTTGGGTTAGTTTCTGTCGCTTCAGATCTTGCTCTGAGATCTGCTCCTCCCCATTCTCATTGTTGGACAGCAGCTCCGACTTGGCCAGCAGGCTAGCACGTCCAATCTTGATAATATCCAGTCCAAAATCCACATCCGGTTTGTATTCGTTGGCAAAATGCTCGCATCTGGAGCGTATGATGCCCAGCTTGGCGCCGATGCTCGTGATGAGCGTAATCTTCTCCTTGCTCTGTGGGAGATACGAGCAAAACACATCGACTGCGTTTTGGAACACAAAGTAGGCACACTCGGCACTGGTCACCGAGAACTGGGCATTCGAGCGCTGGCAGAGCTTCACCAGATCGCGTGTCGAGACCAGACGTCCCGAGTTGGGACTGGACGAGAGTGTGACCTGCTCAAAGGGCAGCGCCACATACTTTTCCGTATTGTCCGCCTTGTCGTTTGACTCCTGCTGGCGCAAATTGTCGGCAGCCATGTGATTGCCACTGGAGAATGTGAGAAACACGTCCACCACTCGATTGGCGACAGTCGCCAGCTTGGGATAGTTGGTGCTCACCACCTTGCACAGCTCGTTGCGGGAGAGCGGCAGTACGTTGATCGTATACAGATATTTATCCAGCAGCGAGTAGAGCGATTTCTGCCCCGAATTGCTAGCTGATTTGTTTGTCCTAGAGAGAGGGATGTACATGGATAACTTTGAAAATAAATATGTGGAAATGGACTTACCGCACTGTCACAAACAACTGAAAGCCCGGCTCTATCTTTACAGAGTCCCGAAAGCCGGGCACACTCAGGCATTGTCGCTCCAGCAGACTGCTCAGAATAGTGTACGTGTCTTGGGTGGCGGCATCCAGATCCTCCAGCAGCAGCCAGTAGCCATGCATGACAGCCTAAACAAGCCAAAAAATAAGCAAATCAAATATCTTTTGAATTACTTCCTTACCTGCGTGAGGACACCTGGAAGCCAAACAAATTCGCCGGGCACATCTGTGCAGCGATATTGACCCAATAGCATTTTGCTATCGGTCTGATCGCCCAGTTGTATACGCAGAAAGCCATGCTTTTGCGACACATCACTTAGTTCCAGCAGTGCCTGGTCGATGGGTAGATCCTTCTCCTCCACTAGTTTTCTCTTTTTTTCTTTCCCCTTTTTTCCTTTCTTCGGCGTCAACAATTTGTCATCGTCTTCGGCCTTGCGCAGCGCCTTTTCGCGCGTTTCAATCTCCTTTGGCTTGGGGCAAATGCGTCCCGTCTTGCGGGCCAGATACTCAATAAGAGTCGTCTTGCCACAGCCCACCGGACCGGAGAGGCAAATGGGCTTGGCTGCAGCGACGCCAAGGGCAATGCTCCGCAGATTTACAATCGTCGAGTCCACTTTGACAATGCGGTCGTAGCAGCCGTCAGTGCTGGCGTAGAATTCCTGATTCTTCGCATTGAATGTCGGCAAGAGCACGCCTTCAATGTTGGTCACACTCTGGTTGGGGCTCAGGCTGAGCATCTGCTCGGGCGTACCATCATCGGGGGCATAGCAGCAGCTCTCGACCTGCCTGGCCATGGCCCACGCCTGCTCCTTCTCCCGCTCGAATCGAAGCTGTGCGTCTGTGGATATTTTGGCATTTTGTTCATTCAGCTGGGTGGGGCTCATGTTCGTGAGCATGGCCATGATGTGATTGCAGTAGAGCTGTGTCATCGGGCATGGGGTCTTGAGGTGCGAGTAAGTGGTAATAAATCCAGACCAGTCCCACAACTCTCGATAGTAGGACGTGTCACTGCGCAGCAACTGGTAGCAAGATCTCAGCAGCTGCAGTTCATCCAACTTTTGGTTAGCCTTTGCGTTCTTTGCCTTTTTGCTGGGGACAGTGGCATTACTTTGGTTCTTCTCGAATGGAGCTGGCTTGTTGTGAAAGTAGCTCTTAGCGAATCTAAGTGGATGTTGAATGTTACTGATAAAAATATATGGGAAAGGGATTTTCAACTTACCTTTGGGCATCAACGGAGAAGTCCATTAACTTTGACAGGGCAATGCACTCCATGTGATATTGATGGAGATCGTGGCCTGCAGGGTCCCATCGCAAGGCCATGCTTAGGAGCAGCAACAGTTGCTCCTCGAAACTAACTGCCAGGGGCACGGTGTAGGCGGGACACGCAAGTTGCTCGCTGAGACTGCTGAACAGACGCTCCACGTCTTGTGGCACATATTTCTAGAGTGTCGCAAAGGTTTTTTATGAGTGTTATGTTTATTTGTATTAAAATATATTCACCAACCTGCTTCTTGATGAACTTTTGCACATTCTGAACAAACACATTGTCTTGCGTCTCGTTGGCAGTTAACTGTAGAAGTCGCTGGGCACAAAATCGTAGCTTGCTGGCATTTACCTCCATTTCCTTGGTAGCCGGTCAACTGTGTGGGGATATTATTACTTCTTTTGAGCTACTTAAACTGTGTGTTTCTTGTTAATTTCAGCGCACAGACCAGGAGAATAAACCAGCAACACACGCGAATTTTGAAACACGTGCAGCGCGCAGTCTATTTTGTTGCTGTTATCGGTTTAAGTAATACCGTGCCAGCTGCAGGCCGAAAATACCGCCACAAAAAATACGAAGAATTTCATCAAATACCAACATACCGGCATATAACTGTGGAAGCACAGTAGACTCTCGATAATAATTTATTAAATCTTAATCCTTTTAAAAATTCAAAGCTTCTATTAAACAATTATATCTTCGAACTATTAGCGAACTGTGAATTAACGAGGGCCGCGCCAGACGTGTGTGTATATACAAACATATGTGTGTGCATGTATGTATAATTGCGCACTCAACGCTGCCATTTTGGTTCAAAAGCAACGGTTAAAGCAATTTTAAGGGAAAATTGCGTTTTTATAGAATCCATGATGAATCCTGAAGAGATAATATTAAATCTAAAGCCACACGTCATTACCCAAGAGGACCGAACTGTTTTTCCTACATTCTCAAAGCCTCAAACTCATGGCGGCTTTAGCTTATCGCCGGATGGAAAATTCGAGAAAAATGAGAATCGAAAGCGTTACCTGTTCGTTCCACCAATGGGCCAGATTCAAGTGCATGTGGGGGATTCGGAGGCTAGGCGTTCACAAAGGTTACACTTGCTGCAGCCAAGCCTGGACAATATACTGTTGTATATGGAGGGCAAAGGTACAGCCTTTCTACAGTTCAAGGACCAGATTAATGTGGAAGTCAATCACGATATCGTGTGCAGCAGCGAAGTGCTTGAACTAATCCTGAGGACGCCCTACGAAAAGGAGCAGAGCTGGACCCTCGCCATCACCAAGTATCGCAACACGATCTACATCAGCCCCGTTATTCTTTCGGAGCCAAACAATTCTCCCATGAAGGAAATGAATGCTGAATGGGTTGAAACGCTGCGTAGGCACTTCCTATCCGGTAGGGCAGTGAATTAAGCATACATTATTACCATTCACTATGACATTTTCCAGAGAAACCAAATACGTTGCCGGAACCAGGCGGCACAATGGAACGGACTGGCCAATATCACGGTGTGTTTTCCGTCACCATAAATGGCAAGCGCTTCATTTTCGATGCACCAGTTCTGGCCGAATCTGTCCTCAACTACGCGAAGTAAGTACAACGTCTGGACATACGAAATCGTGTTTAAATTTTCCATTCTTCACCCTCTAGCGTGAAGCCAGATACAAACGACATTTTCACTGATCTGCAGATTCGCCCAGACAATATGAGCGTTGATGAATGGACTGCGCACAACCGGAGCGAGGCCCTCAAGTGGTGGATCAAGTGCTTCATAGTGGGCATCGAAAATATTCACGTTGCTTATGTAAATCGTCACATTATAGCGCACACCATTGAAAAGATATCTGTGCGAAAAATTTTTAGGGATTGCGTAAGTGTTCACGCATAAATCTACGCATATCCACTCTGATGTGTTTTTTGCTTTTGCAGGAATCGGTCTGGTTGCCACATGTCTGTTTCAATTTCATGGCTCGGCTGGTGGAAACAATTTGCTCCTTTACGTCGTCGGTCGACTGCTACAAGACCGTGTTTCTGACGACGTTCGATGCCATCCCTGGAAAGATCTCCTACAAGTACTATCCAGGCAGAAGCCAGTTCACATTCATTCCCGATTGGTTTCGCATCATGTTGGAGGAGCGCAAGGAGGATCTCATCCGCGAAGCATTTGTGGAATAATTGAAATAAAGCGAGTGCTGAGTAGATAAATGAAGTTTTAAGTTTATTGTGACATCTTCATGGGCTCCATGGGTTGCATGGGAGTTTTGTGTTCATCTGCGGTATCATCACTATTATATAATTTAATACAATTGTTGTCCCATCAAGAGTTTGAGGAGAATGCATTCGATTTTACAAAAATATGGAAATGCTAGTTACACCGCTACTACACCACACCACATATACGACGCAGTTGGCGGTTAGAGTTAAGAACTTATGATTAGAGCTTAGAGCTCGGTCTTCTTGGGCCTGCCGTCACGGTCGAAGCTCTTCAGTTCTGAGGTCGCCTCCTTGGCAATGTACTTGATGAAATCATCGACCTCGCGACCACCGTTGTAGCTCACTGGCTTGCTCTTCGAGTCCTTGGGCAGCCAGAAGAGTGTGGGGAAGCCGCGCACATTGAACTCTGGTGGCACATCGTTGGCTGTGGCATCCATTTTGACAATGACCACCTCCTCGTCCTGCAGCTTCTCGGCCAGCTCCTCGTAGATGGGAGTCAGCTTCTTGCAGTGGCCGCACCATGGAGCGTAGAACTCAATGAGCGTGTCCTTGCCATTGTTGATCACAAGATCGTCAAAGTTCTTGGCCACGGCCACCTTGACCGGAGCATCGTTCGACTCTGGGACGGCTTCGCTCTTGATATATGCCTCCAGTTCGCCGGCCAACAGCTTCTCAACGAAGTCTTGCAGGTTCTCCACGGAGAACTCATCCTTCAACGAGTACTTGAGATTCTTGGCATCACGGGCCAAAACGACGGGCTTGTCACCTACAAAATCGTAGCCGTATTCGTTCAATTCGTGCTGGAAGTCGTCCTTGGAGCTGATGGCAAAGCTAATCTGGCCGGCAAACTCCTTAGCCACCTTCAGGACACGGTTGCGCCAGTAGTTGGTGCCCTTGGGGTTCTTCTGGTAGTCGACGCTGTAGTAGGCTGTGATCAGGGGGTTCTGGAAGTCGCGAGACGTATCCTGGGTACGATGACCAACCAAGCCATGGCTGCAGAGAAACAACAAAACGAACGTCAAATGAGTGTTTGTGCTTTGATAGAGGATATCGCAGGCCACTTACTAGTTCTCCTTGACGAAGGTGCTCAGGTCGGACTCGCCCTCAAACTTGACTGTGGACGCCTCGAACTTGTTGCTCAAATGGGGAGCACGGATCAGCACAATCTTATCGCTGTGGGGAAGAGTCATCGAATACGAGGATATGTGTTAGTTATGACAAGGGAACAAATATAAAATTAATGGCTATTTATTTTACTAGCTTTTGCTTAACAAATTGTATTAAAAAATATATAATAAATATAACAAAGTGCAGTCTTGAGATGGCATCACTTACGTTTCACCATTCTTCTTCAGCACCTCCTCGTCGCTGCTGTGGCCAAAGCGATACTTCTCGCGGTTCTTGTCGGCAAACTTGAGGAAGATCTTCGCCAGCTTGGAGTCAATGTCTTCGAAGTTACCAAATATTGAGGTCTCCTTGGTGTCCAGGAACTTGACGAGCTCCTCCAGAGAGCGCACATTCTTGGAGGCAGGTCCAACCTGGGCGCGCATGTACTTGGCAATGCCGAGGGCTTCGCGTGGTCCGTTGTAGTCCTGCGACACCTCATCCTGACGGAATATCTTCAGTGTGGGATAGCCGCTCACAGAGTACTTGCTGCACGTCTCCTTGCCAGCCTCTGTACAGTCAACCTTGGCCAGCTTAATTGGTGGATCATCATCCTTGACGAGCTCAGCCGCCTTGGCGTATTCAGGCTTGAGACGTTTGCAGTGGCCGCACCTAGAAATAACAGAAAAACAGACAAATTTAAGACACGTCACACAGTTGTTTCTGGAAAAAAATTTAGCCAGTTCATCATTTTTATCAAGACAACAGGAAGACATGTTACCCAAAAAGTTGAATACTTTGTAATTATAGCTAGGGTTGTTAGTGCCAGCACTTATCAGTTGGGTTCCTTATCAGGCACTCGCAGTGCCAACAGCGTCTAATTAAACTGCTTATGCTGCTAGTGCTGATAAGTCGAATGGGGATGACGGGATTAAATGTAATTTTACAGCCCCCCTAGGATTTGGAAGACCGGCCGGCAAGCCCATACACACTCACACACACCCGAACCCCTTCTGAAAATGGTAGCTTTGAAGTTTTCTCCTAATCATGCACATCACACTCACACGCAAACAAAGAGATGGTGTATTTGTATTGACACATTCGTTGGTTGAAGCTGCCTGCCCGCTGCCCTGCCCTGCCCTCTACCACTTAAAATGGCCGACTCTGATACCGACTCTTTGTAGTCGTTGATTTTTTTTCTTGTCTCTGTTTCGACCCTGTCTCCTTAACGCTGACGTGTACATTTGATTCGATTCATTGCAGCGCAATTTAATTAAAAAGCAGACGCAACAAGCTGATTAAGGTAATTGCACTCCCGAGCTGCCACGCCCGCTCCCCACACACACTTACCAGGGGGCATAGAACATAACCAATGTCGTTTCTTGCTGCTTCAGTGTGGACACAAAGTTGTCGTCCCCCAGGTCCAGAACGTCACTTTCGGCGGCTTTTGTCGTTGCAATGAATCCGAAAATTAGCATGGCAGCTGCCAGACACCGCATTTTGATCATGTTTAGTTAGTAAGTAGCACAATCTCCACCAAAATAAATATATGTTTCTCGACTCGGCTGACAACCGCCTGCTGCGACTAGACTAACTGTGTACTGGACCGGTAAATTTCTTTTAGCGATTGATTTTGCTTCCCGTCGGTCGCCACGTCGCTATTCGTTCGTTGATTCTTGGTGTGACCAAAAAGTAATGCTGAAAATACCGAATACCGAAAAATACCCGCAACCGGCGGGTTTGTTGAACAAATACTGACAGCATTTCTGGATAGTTTTTCGTATTTCTAATTAATACTGCCTACATCAAATGGTATTTTCATGTTTTTATTTTGTTGATGCAAATAAAATATGCACGAATATGAGGAAATTCAGGTTGACTAAACAAATGCATTTTCCATTGAATTTCATCTTCTTAAAAGTTCCTAAACCTACAAGTTTGTTGATTACATTTCCTGTATTTGGTACGTTAACGGCACTTGAGTTATTGATTCAAGCATGGTGTGTTTTTCATTGGCAGCACTGCACAAATTTTTCAGATTAATTAATGGCCACTTAACGTTTTTAAAAACCCATCAACAGCTACTTGTCTACATTTCGGTATTTTCAATGCACTAAGGGTACTTAAGTATTTTATAAAAACACCATGGATCTGTCATCGCTTTTTGCGTTTCCGGCCGGTTTTGACAGCTCGACCTGCGAGGCTTCCTGGCTTCTGGGCCGCCGAACACTCGTTCACTTTGTTCAAGTCTGTCGCCGGAATCGCATAGACTGTGATATCTCATTCAATTTATTCGAGAGTAAGTTTCTGGATCCAAAGTGAACTAATTAAAGTGCCTATTAGTAAGAGGATTTAGTGAATATGTGCAACGAAACTGCAGCCAATGAACAATTTATAAACAAATATGCAGTTTGAACGCTACATCGTGGCGTGTTGCAGTGCATGTGTGTGCCTCTGGGAAAATTAACCTCTAACGAGGCTGCCAAAGTGAAAGGTGCTGACGGAGGCATAGTGATGAGAAAAGCAAACACGTGGCAATGTGCACACTTTGTTCGAAATAAGTGCTGTGGCCAACGCAACGACCCTTTCTGCACCGTTTCCAATCGTTTTAAATAATTCTCGCCAATAGGCGACATTTTATTCCGCAATGTGGTGTAATTTGTTGTAAATTGCCACGCCCACTTTGCATGTGTGGCATCGATGGGGTCGGCGCTGATTAGTGCCGCTAATTGTTCTATCAATTAATACCCGTTTTGCTTTGCAAAAGCACAAACCATCGATGAAATAGAGTGCAGAAAACGTGGTTTTCGCACGCATATATTTTCAGCTTTCTCTACATGGAAAAGAATTTCAAAATGGCGACTCATGGTGTGACTCAAGTGCCCGGATATCTTTCCTAGCAACACGCGAAAATCTCGCCAATCTACCTATTCAGCACACTGCCAATTGCCAGCTGTTGTGAAATAAGGTGCATCCGGATTTTCGAAGCATTTAGCTTGACCTCTTGCATGAGCCAGGTCTATAAAAGCCACTGCATGCATTTGGTTCTGGAAAATTTTCCGTCTCTTTCGTGCCACCGCGGCGATCATTCGCTTTTGCACAAGTCACATTCACATTGGTATGGGTCGTCGCCATTTTTCTTTGCTTTCTCCCTCGCTCTCCGGCCGGCAACTGGCGTCACAGACACACACACGCGAACGCACATGCATGCGAACAAAACGAGATTTGCTGGAAATTTCTTTGCGCATATGTACTAAATTTAGCAACTCGATTTACCATGATGATTATTTTCAGTTCTGCTACTGAAGAACTTTGACGATAGCATAAATACCAAAACCACTGAAAAAATCGAGTTAGCTTTTAAAATGGTTCAAATAAATAGGTTGATCTCTCTTTTGCATGCAGATAAATGTGTATGCGGTATGCGTACTTCATTGTTCAACAATTATTTGTCTGTTCTGTTACCTCCCCCCTCTGGCTGGTTGGTTTTTTCCACCACCACCATCACATGCGGCGGCGCTGCTGCACCTAACCTAACCTCAAACTGCTTGCGAGTGCTGAGCGAAAAAAAAACACGTTTTGACTGTGCCGCGATTGTGAGGTTAGGTTTTGTGGCTGCGCTGGCAGCACGCGAACAAAAATTGAAAAAAAAAAACGAATATTGATTAGATTATTAGTAGACAACGAAATTTATTTGTGCCCACTAACAACTATGCAACTAATTAATAATTAAATTCCTAACCAATTGCTAACGAAATTGTTTACCCATTTGTTTCTTCCCCTCGTTACCGCGCCTGTTGAACCCTATATCGAAATTCCACCTGCTGCACGCTGTCCAACACACACCATCCCTAAAACCACACACACAACTACGAAAAAACAAACAAAAAAACCTGCAGCTCTCCTATAATC